ACACAGATTCATAGTGAAAGTTTTCTGTATCAAATAATCACTATTGGTGAAAAGTGAATTCCAGATTTAGATTGAAATCACTGTCAAGCGAATGGAAATGTCCAACTTTTCTGCAATCTTAAGAATTTTGATATACACAATAATAAGTAAAATAAATGATCATTTCTGCCTAGGATTACTAAAGATTCATCACTAAAAATAACAGTTCCATGTGGGAAAAGTGTGAAGGAGCATATTATTCTGAGTGTTTGCCAAGACTGTGCAGGACAATGAAGCAAAATAACTTGCTTTGGGATGGGCAACTCATTTTCAAAGCTAATGCACATCTATCTGTATATGGGAAGATTGTGATAAATCTGCTGATCAAGTACAAGTAGAAAATTTTACTTCATAAGCAAAATTTTTTTACAAGAATCCATTACAGTCTGAAATAACTTTTGTGCTGTCTCATCAGCATTAACTGCTCATAAACAGCAGACAGTTCAAAATTATAAATTTATTACACACATAATGTCATTTAAGAAACTAAATTATTGATTAATAAACAAGAGTGTTGTTATACAATTTTTCGCTTCAAAATGCAATTTAAAAAAATAAAACTACTGTTGTTGCAAGGCAGTTATGCTTAAGAAGCCAATAGGTGGCATGTGGCTTAAAGGTTGCAGTTTGTCATGCCTGGTACAGAACCTGGAATGAATTACCAGCACTCCATGTTACCTATTTAGTCACCTTTAGCATTTTATAATAAATTAATGTTAATCCTGTTAATAACAACCCTAACTAAATTTTCATTACAATCAGTTCTACTGTACTACTGAAAGACAATCTTTCAGCCCACCAGTGGCCTAGCGGTAAAGTCACTGAACACTGGTAGTTCGGTCCGAGGTTCGAATCCCGCAAATGGGCTGGCTGCATGTGCGTTTTTGTTTTTTGCATACCTGTAATATGTATACGAGGCAATTTTCCTTAGAAAGACCTCCATAAAGGCATCACTTTCATTGGCAGACAGCCTCCGAAGCTTTGTTGTAATCACATACACCAAACCAAACCATAATCTTTCAATATTCCATTTATTTAACACTCTTGTAAACAAACATAAAATAAGATTGTAATCAAATTTTGATACTTGAGTAATTAATCAAAATAATTCTGAAAGTCTGAGAAACGTATGGCATTTAAAGGAACTGGCAAAATTTTACTTGCCTTAAATATTTTGCTTTTTTTCAATAGCTTGTGCAAGCTGTTCACAATAATACTTAACATGACAACCTATCTCATATTCGATGTGGCAATAGATGTATTAAATTAATTAAAACATTTGAAAGATCACTATTTACACTTGCTTTTCCATTTTTGACTAATTTTATTGCATGGAATTTAAAGAGGGGAAAATTACAAGAAAATTTTAATTTCAAAGCATGTGGTTACTATAAGAATGAAATGTTCTCATGAAAAAACTACTTTTAACTAATACAATATTATTTATTTAAAAGGCATCCACATCCAAATAAGTTTGCATAATAATAGTAATATTACCTATAACTAATAAGACATGCTTTCTGTATCTTGAATCTTGTCTACTCTTATTGTTGTCCACTGAGACACCCTAGGTTTCAAACCAATTAATTCTGTTGGAATTTCTGACTGTGTCATCTGCTGGTGATAAACCCGATGACAGATGACAACAGCAACGACTTGCAAACTACAGGCCCTAGGGAGTAGCATCATATAAATTAGGTGAGATTCAAGATATAGAAAGCTCACCAGTGAGTGAGTGGTAAAGTTGCTGAACATTGGTAATTCGAACTGGATTTGAGATGAACAGGCTGGCTTTAGGGCACTTTTGTGGTTTTCTCATGTGTAATGTGGATATCAGCCAGTTCTCTTAGAAATGCATCCACGAAGGCAGACAGCCCTTTGCCATAATCAAACCAAACCGAAACCAATCAAGATATAGGGAAGTAGAAATGAAGATATCTTATTAGACACTCTTATGCTAATATTACTACGTATTGTTCTTGAAATGTGGGCTTCTTTTAAATAAATAATACTGTGATAGTTATCAGTTGTTAATCTATGAATAAGTTATATTTGTTATATTTTTGCTGTAACCCACGTCGTTCAGAAATTATTCGCACAATTTTCCTCTCTTGGTTTTCATGCATAAAATTAGTTAAAAAGAAGGAAAATGTGCAAGTAAATATGGTTAGTAGTTTTAAAATGTAATCAAAATTAAAAATCCCTTTAAAAATTCATTTATTATTTAAAAGGTCACACTGAAAATTTTCATTTTCATTTTATTTTTCTCAGTATCTTCCTATTTCTAAGTCCTATCTTAACTAATTACTATTACAAAGAATAAAAGCAAACTAGCTTAGAATTTTAAAAAAAAAATTAACAAATCTCTTTTAACTTGTTCCAAAGGAAATGTTTTTAGTATTTAAAGAATCACATTTGAAAGAAAGAAGAACAGTACAACGACATTTTTAACTGGATCAAAAGAAGTGGGTTTAGTCAAGACTCAAAACAGAGATCTTACATTATGAAAATCAGCATAAGGTTACACAATATTCGTCTATATTTTTTAAACTTGAATCTGCCCAGTGCTTGCTACAGTAAACTATATAATACATATCTTTAAAGGAAAGAATTTCTTGACACTTGAGTCAATGCTTTTATATCTTGTATGATTTCCCATTTGATATTATTTTGGTATAAATGTGTTTTACAAAATAATAGTTGTAAAAATAACATTATTTCACAGAATATATTTTCTAGAAAACTAATTGTATTATTCATGCATATCTAATTCTATATATACATTAAAGTGCGACAAAAATGGGTCTTTTAAATTAATACTTTTTTTTCAGAAAGCACCAGGGAGCAAAACACATAGCAATGTTACCTGCATGTCACCAATCGATACATGCAGCATGGACATCTATAATAGTTTATCCCCTGAGAATGACAAAATTTTATGATTTAAACATTTTTTAATGTAGTTTATTAGATGGAGCACATGAAAGAGATTCTAGTATTTTAAGCCATTGTGATTGAGATTCTAGTATTTATGCTATTCGTAATTTTATGTTAAAGTACATTCAAATTATACTAATAAAAAAGGTGCATCACCACAATTAATTTGAATTTATGACAACAGCCTGGTTTTAAAAAGACTGTGTAAACATGATGAATATCAACTGGCTAGAATCATTTCATATCAGAGGGATACAGCACTACCTCAAATAATACTGAAATTCAATATGGGTGCCTCAGTGAACATTATCAGGACAGTGAAACTTTCTATTCATTATTTGAAGTTTTGGAATTAGTGCTTAACCAGAATACTTCATAGAAATACCTGATCTGACAATCATGTTTCCAAACCATTTTGGGAAGCTGGAAGAATTTGTGCATGGAGAAAACCAATAAATCCATAGATCCTCTCATGTTAACAGGAGACTGTACAGATTGTAGTGGCTCTGCAATGGTATAGGACATTTTTATCTGGCATTTAAAGGGGAATTGTGGATGTGTACAATCATCTCTGACAGGTATACACCTGTTCATGTTCTACATTCATTCTGAGTAATAGCACCTCTACTAACACATCAGTCACATAAATTTAAAGTTGACAAACTTCATTTAAAGGAACCCTCACCTCAATTAAGTCTTCCCATGGCTACCTAAATCATGAAATGTGAAACTATTCTGCAGCAACTATAGTACTGACTGCATACTATAGTTGCTCCCATATACTAGTCAAGCTTATGTTTTTGCTGTGCTATGATCTCATGAAGGCTTGTTCAACTAAATCCTTCCCCTTCATACACATAATAATGTACAACAGATAAAAAATTTTACAGGAGGAAAAGCAAATTTAAATCAGTGATTTCTTTCTCACATAAAGCCAGTACAGAAATTTAACAACAGTGATAAAAAGCATAGAAGCAGTTTACATAAGAGAAAATGTTGAAACTGGATTACTGTAAACCAAATATCATTGGAAAAATAAAGACACGGGTTGAAAACTGATCAGCCTTTGTTATTATGCTTCAGAAGTGTTGCATATTTTAACCTTTCAACGCATTTTAGAAGTCTTCTATAATGGCCATGTTGCAAAATTTCATCAAGCAAATACACGTCAGAAAAAATAAAAGTAACGGGATTAAAAGACAATGAAATATTAGTGGAAATTTGAAGCTTTAACTTTTATTCAGAAATTTAAAACACTGCACATAGCTGAGCCAATTAGATGGAGCCGTTGCTTTCACCAGTGTAGGTAATAATGAATTTCTGCTTGGTCTTCATTTCAAACTATCAACTGAAGACAGTAAACCAACTATGTATACATTTAATCTAACTACAAAATGCAAAAGCCAATGATATATTTCTCCTACTGTTTGATTTATATAATCCAAAATCTTTCATGGGTAGCTCATATAAAATCATAAATTATGCAAATCTTTACAATTATGGCAGGTACTATATTTTCTAAACTTTTTAAATAATCATTTACTTATTTCTTACAATCACAGGTTATCAGTGAAATCCTAAATCCATTTTAAAATCCAGTTAATTTTTTAAATATGGGTGAGGAATTATCACGTCTGCATGTTCCCTTTATAAATTTGCTACAATATGCTTTCAATACTGTTTTCTTATTTGTTTAGTCTCCCTCTTGGATGGAAGAGGAGGATTAACAAATAAAAACAAAAAACACATATGCAAGTGATACTTTGACTATTGTAACTCACTTTCTTGTACACTGAAAATACTTTTTTATTACTTTAACACTTTTTAATTTTATAAATTTCTTGATCAAATATTTTTAAAACTAAACATCAGCAAATGAAAATAAGCACTGTCAACTGCTGAAATGAGATTTCCAACTTTCTTGAATCACTGCACCAATTAGATCGGCCACATCATTATACTGATCTCACATAATCACAAAATAGAAACTAAAATTTAAGCTTTGAGTATCATTTTATCCTTACCTGGTCTTCTGTTAAGGCAGATAGCCCATTATCTGCTAGCACTGAGTCAATCTTGGGGGTAAAATGGTTAATAATAGCCCTAAGATGGAAAGAAAAAATCATCAGTTTTTTTAAAAAATCAAATGACTTATTTTTATGTATGAATAAGGTGTATTTACATAAAAATATCAGGACCATTAAATCACATGATTGTTGGAGGTAGGAAGCTGTCACTTTTAAGTTCAGCAGGTGCCTGGACTGGCATGGATATCAGGGTGGAGATGCTGCTGAGTTACAGGTTGCAAGAAAAAACTCACAAGTTTACCTGTACCTTGTATTAAGTTGGCTGAGTTCAGTTAATGCTCCATATTTATTATGGCACAATGTAGCATAAATTTCATAAGAAGGTACCCAAAGCAGTTAAAGCTGACTTGCTTCTTTTGTGCACTGCTACAGGGAATGAATTCTTCTGCCACTAGAACAACACTAAATCTACTTGAAAAAGCATGCGATGAAAATCCTAAGGATCTCTTCAACAGAAGTACGGGTCAAACACATACTCACTTTAATTATTATGAGCAACTACTCACCAAGTCAGGCTATAAGGGCCCATAATAAATATAAAAAGATACCTGAGCTAAACGGCAAATCATAAGGTAAAGAGCAATCCAACTTGTCCCATTACCAGAACCTGGAGCCTAAAAACTAACTTGAACTCCACTTTCACTCTAGTGACTTTGAAAATAATGGTGTCTATCACATGGTAGATAATCTTCCTTTTGATAATCATATGATTTAGCACATGGGACTAACTTCAAATTTACTACCCTTTATAATTTTTGCAACAGTTATCGAATTTCAACTTCATGCAGAAGAATTAACATTATGTATTTAAAATCCACATCATGAACGAAATAAAATTTGACAGCAAAATAAATTACTTCATATATTTAACTTACCATATATTCCGTCATATGGCGTACACTTTTAATACAAAGTACAAGATCCAAAGTAAGGGGTGCACATTATATGATGGATATATAAATGATAGATTTATAAATAAGGAAAAGATGAGCATACAAAAATTATATTTCGACATGTATCTAAGAGTTGTTTGTTTAAAAGAAATGACATTCTGAAAAAACTTTAAAGTTTTCCTTATCTGATAAAGATGAAAAGTTCCTCATATTCATATTCAGTTATATCCTCAGGCACATTATCGAATTCTGTTTCATCTTCCCCATCACTGTTATTCTGATCCATAAATAAATAATCATCTTGTTTCATTTAGATTGTTAGATATACTACATTTTTAATGACTTTTGATTAACATTGGGTTTATTTTCACTCCATGCTTTTATTATCCACTCGCATACTATTGCTAGACTGGCATGACACATTAGGCCTCCTTTTCCTTCCTTGCCTTCAATGTTCACTTTAAAATCACAGCTTCAATGACTACAGAAACATAAAATATCTAATTGGTTATTCAGCAAATTCCTTCAGATCGAAAGTGCATTTTTACCTCAAATAATGTCCCCACTTTCTCAAAACTCTAGAATAACATTCTTGTGCACATCTGCTTTGAATACAAAGCACCCTCTTTGTAGAATTATTTTTCCCCTGAAGCATTTTCCCTACACACATATTCTTCCTCTTACGGCTTTGTCAGTTCAGAATACCATTGTTTGAAAGCCTGGGAAAAATCTCTAAATGAAAGACTTCAGAAGATAAGAGCATTGTATCTTTCAGGCTTCTTAGTAAAGAAAAGTGTGTGTTTGTTATACACGAATATACCTAAAAACTACAAAACATAATTTGAAATTATAGGTGCCTATTATACACAGGAATATACAGTATATAAAACACACACATGCAAATGAACATACACACAGTTGAACCCCAATTACGACATAATACTGATTGCAGTCAATCTTGGCTACATATAAATAACATAAAGATTATTCCAGGAGAATTGAAAATAGCTGAAAACTTTAAAACAGTGTCTTTGAAGCTTTAAGACACATACACATATTTATTCTAAGAGAGAGAATTATTAAAATGAATTAGTAACTGTACATGATTAATAATTAGCATGAAATAAAATACATAATTACATAACAAGGTTAAAGAAACTTTAAGGTTTATAGAAACACACAAAAGTTGTTGGAGCGTACATTAAATTCTTTCTATAATTATTAAATACAATGTAATTATTAATGTGTATGAAGAAGTAATAAGAGACATTCTCCAAAAATTGGCTTGTGTTTATACACGAGAAAACCACAGAAATGCCATGCAACAGCCAGCAATGATTTAGGTGCACGTTCAGAGTCTCAGTGATGTGTGGTTAGTTGGCATAAGGGAATTGTCACTTTAGAATTTTTTTCACAAATATTGAATTAATTTTTATAGCTCATAGATTTAGCTTCCCATGGTTTGAAAATGTAGTTCTCGTAATATATTTGTAGAATCAGTCATTTTCACAAAGCAAATGATCTAGATTTATGTAAAAGTAAAGATGTTAATGCTAACATTCAAACCTGGTAACATGAATGGGCATGGAGGTCACATATTTATATTTTGCTACTGTCTCCATTGTTTCCTTTCCTTCCAGCACGCAGTTCATTAGTTGCTAAGTGTACATTTTCAAACCATGGGAAGCTAAATCTATGAGCTATAAAAATTAATTCAATATTTGTGAAAAAAATTCTAAAGTGACAATTCCCTTATGCCAACTAACCACACATCACTGAGACTCTGAATGTGCACCTAAATCATTGCTAGCTGTTGCATGGCATTTCTGTGGTTTTCTCGTGTATAAACACAAGCCAATTTTTGGAGAATGTCTTTTATGAAAGAATCCCTAGCCTTAGACAGAAAGCCCTTGTATGCTTTGCAATATTAAACTAAAAAATATAAAGATATGACTATTAGGGTACAAAATGGAATGAGATCCACCAAGCATGAAAGTGCATGAGAATTTTTCATTTGTCTCAGCTTGCTTTGTTTACTAAGCATTATTACTTGAAAGGATTAAAATGCTCCAAATAATTAGTGAAGTCTAAAAATTTTAAGGAGTGGCTTTAGAGCAGTGAGAATCATGGTTAGCACAAAAAGAACAACTACTAAGCAAAATCATTACTAAGCACAGTTTTGGAAAAATCAGAAAGAAGTGCTGTTTCATAATCACATGAAAAGGCTTGAAGTTCAATAGATACTCATATCTGTAGCTCTAAAATTGCAAATGTTCTGCACAGCCATTTGCAGATACACATTTGGATACATTATCATACAAAATCAAATTTCGAGAACTGAAAGATGGGGACTCATCAGTACTTGATTGATCTATAGAGACGCTCTTGAAATGAATGGAAAGAGAACATGATTGATCATAGAACATTTATTAGCATATTCAAATGGTGTGTCAGCTTCTAGGGACTGGATTTATCATTTTGCATTATGTTAATACAGCTATGCATTCCAGTTCTTGTGCACTGACTGTAACACTAAATAACTCATATACACAAAGTTAGCTATTGTTCAATAAAAGCCTTAAGTAAAGGATAATAATATTTTAAATAAAAATGAATGTAGCTCATGGAAAGAATTTAAGCAAAGGTGTAGTTTTGCTTAACAACTATTCCAGAAGGTTAAAACTTTTTATTGCATTTTTGTTCATGTTTTGGACTTAAGCTCGCACATCACATAGGTTGACTAGCAAAATAAGCTTAGCATTTAAGGTGTTAAATAAGATGCATTTTCAGGTCTGCAGGACTGTAAACACACATATTCAAGGTATTAAAAATTTCTATGGTATGCCAAACTATACCTGTAGTCAGAAAGTTAATCATAAGGTAGGTTTTATTACAATCTTACTAATCTGCTAAATTTTCTTTGGGGAAGCAAGAATGAGAACATAGGCCAATGACTTCCATGATAATTACAGCAATATCTGGAAGTACAGCTAGTTATTCCAAACCTGTAACAGCATGATTATCTTAATATCTTACAGATTATCTTAATAGTCTTTTTCCATGTTTGTGATTATGCATAAAAGCAACTGTTCCAGAATACATCTCATAAAGACTGGTGAAAGTTGGTTAGCTGGTTTATCCAGCAAAACATGCACATGCTATCTATTTAGTTAGAAAGATGATATTGTAAAGAATTTTCTAAGAGAATATAGTTCACATACATGTTATGTTACACATGCCAAAACCATGAAAATATCCCCCTGGGATTTGAAGTTGGGTCAGATTTACTGTGTTCAAAAGTCTTATCCACTTATACATTAGAGCACTTTGGTGCAACAATGGAGCACGGTATTTTGGACCTGTGGTAGTGTAATTACTGCAAAAATAATTCATTAAGGATATGTAAGTCAGTAACAGATTTTCATTAACCTTCCGCGTATGGCCCTGGTGATTTCCATGGGATACAAAATCTGTCTTGTAATACAGGTTGTGTGAAAAATAGCACGCGTAAGTTTATTTCACTTATTTTAAACCTTTTTCCGGGGGCTGGGACATGTGTGTCCTGAAGTAAGTATACCTCAACTGGGGGCTCGGGACAGATTGTCCTTGGTGGCAGGGGTAGGAATTCTAACACATGAGGCTTGATGACTATTTTATGACACCCCGTCTGCTAATGGATTAGGAAAAATTGTCCGTGTTTTGAATTCACATGTGTAGTTGGCAAATTCGGTATCTTCAAGGAAATATTTTGTTGAGAGGAGAAAATAAAAAGAACAATTTGTTACTTCGATTCACACGCCTTTACAGGTTTTTTTCCTGTGCAAATACAGCTTGGAGGTCAAGTATCAAAGAAATTTTATTTTCGGAAGTTCGTCTGCTAAAATTCTTTGGAAATTATTTTAAAAGCTTGAATGTAGTTAAAAACGCAAATTTTTTTTCAGTTATTTCTGATTAAATTCTTTTTAATTTGTCTTTGTTTCATTCTTTTCATAAGTGTTTTTACCACTTTATTCCATTTTTAATAGGCATGTTAAGGCAGTGTAAATAAATATAAATGTTTCATGTGATGAAAATTAACTTTAATGTTATTTCTAAACGACATACGTTCCACGACTACTGCTTACTTGAGTGAAATTTTGGTTTGTTATGTTCTACATGAAAACTAGCGGTCGAACGGATAATATTTCTTTAAGTCTGATAATTTAACTTGGATTCAAATTCCGATGAATGGATTGACTGCATGAACTTTTCTTGTTCTCTCACATATAATTAAGGTATACCAACCAATTTCCTTTGAAGGCGCTAAACAATAGCCCCTTTCACTTAGGTAGCTAACACTTCCTTTAAGCCGACAAATAAAAATAAAATTATATTCAAAATAAGAAAGCTAAACTTATGAGCATTTCCTTTTATGAATAATTTTGATGACAAAATGAAGTTTAATTGTGTGACAAATGAAATACAAATTTTTACTATTACTAAGCAATTGGAACATTTTCTAATTCAAAAAAGTTTCAAAACTTATTAATTTATCGGTTGTTATATGTTTGCATCTATAATGTCATATCTATATCAATATATCAATTCATTCAGAAATTAGTCACCGTTTAGGTTAATTTAATATGGAAAAGTGCACAAAGGCTGCCTACCTAAAGAAAAAGATGCCTTCGTGGAGATCATTTAGAGGAAATTGGCTCGTATTCACGTTTCACGTGGGGGAAACAACAAAAACCGACCATGCGGCCAGCTCGATCACCTGACGTCGAACTAACAGCATTCAGCGGCCTTAACCACTCAGTTGCTAGTAGTGTTCAGAAAGTAATTAATTTTATATGAGAATTGTGTTTTGGAGGGAATCAAATTTAGATATTGAAATACTAAGGCATTGTATATCACGAGTAGTTCAGATGTGTACCACTTTTTTAGTTTCAACTGAATTTAATCCTCAGTGCGAATCTTTCATTAATATTCATCAACTCAGTACGAATCTTCATTCCGAGCTTCATCACTCCCAAAAAGAAAGCAACAATAAAATAGCCTGAGATCTGAAAATTTTGCATAACAAGTTTGATACCTTCAAAGGTCGATTTTAGCATTCTGAAAATGTAAATCATAAAAAACTGAAGAAATATTTCTCCTATTCGGACAAAAGATCTTTATTTTTCTGAAATTATTCAATGGCGTTCCTGTATACGCAGTTTTGCATTCAAAGAAAAAAAATGATGTAGCAATATAAATTATCGAACAATTAGCATACAAAATAATATCTATCAACAAAGTAATATCTTATATTGCTAAGTGATAAAACTAAATTTTTGTTACTGAATACATTAAAACTCAACAAGGATTTTATTTTCTTAAGCTCCAGGGTTTGCATCTGCATTTCTTTCTTGAACCAAAAACTATGAAGCGGTTAAAAAAAAATTAAACATCTTATATGCCTTATGTAAAGGCAGATCAACTCTGGGATCGCTATTTGCAATGCCATATGGAAGAAAAATAAATAAAAAAATTCTTGGCTCATGCATTGTAACTTTTTAGTACATTACAAACACAGTGACCAATTTCTATTTCTCCAGAAGTGAATATTACCAGAGGTGTAAAAGTAATAACACTCATTTTGGAATCCGGAAAGGCTTTTTAGTAAAGTTTTTAGTTTCTTTGTAGTAAATAAACTCTATTTAATTTGCTCTTCAACATCAGAATAATAATGTTATTAAAAATGAAAATGTATATATTGTTTGCAGGAAATGTTTGAATATTTTAACTCACTGAATTTTCGATACGATGACAAGTGAATATATTTAATTCCAACTGCTTCGCTTATTTTTTAGTACATAATCTACGAGCAAGTTTAAAAAACTATTTTAATCATAAAATGGAACACTTTTTAGAACAAAATTTTATAGCTGTAGCATACATTTCATCTGAAGATAAAATAATATTTTTCCCCTTCGAAAAACTGCATTCATCTACCTGCAGTGTGAAAGCGATTAGTGCATCCTGCATTCTAACACGTAGGGCATTGGAACTGGATTGAAAGGAAATCATGACAGTTTCCTTGCCCACCCGACAAAAGAGCACTAATCACCTAGTCGTCAAGACTTGATTCGATAATTTTCCCCCTTTGCATAATCGCGAGCTAAGACCCCCCAGTGAAGGTACACAAATGTTTTTTGAGCCCACGCGAAAAGGTTAATACGGATCCCGCCTTTTCCTTTGTGTAGGTTGAGAATATTGTAATATTCCTATTTCACGTTTTGTTTTGCACCTAGATGGCACTACAGGTTTATATCATTGTAAGGCAGTACTACTGTTTCTTCACAGCCGAACACATTTAACGCTGTTGCTTCTTTCATTGTGAAATGATAAGAAAATAGTAAAAATAATTCATTAAGGATATGCAAATCAGTAACAGATTTTCACTAACCCTCTGTGTACTGGTCCCCCCAGGACTTCCTCGGGATACAAAACCCATCTCGTAACGTGGGTCACGTGAAAATAGCGTGCATAAGTTTATTTCTCTTATTTTTAATAAGGATCCCGCTTTTTCTCCGCATAGGCCGAGATTATTGTAATATTCATATTTCCCATTTCTTTCATCACCTAGAAGGCACTACAAGATTATATCATTGTAAGGAAGTAATATTGTTTCTTCACAGTCCAGCACGTTCAATGCTGTTGCTTCTTTCATTGTGAAATGATAAGAAAACAGTTCATGATGCATCATCTGCATCAACTTATTCAGGGACGACAAAAGAAAAACTAAAGCAAAAAGTGATTTATGATTATAACTTTAGAATGGGTGGAGTCAACATATGCGATCAGAAGATGTTGTACTACCCTAATAATATTACAAGTAATGTTACATTGCTTCATAAATATTAAAAGAAAATATTTTTCCATATATTGGATCAAGCAATGTGTAATTCGTACATAATATACAGAAAAATTACACACACGAAGAAAATCCCTTCTTGATTTCAATCTTGCTCTGATCGAGGAAATATTTGACAAATAATCTTCTGCTATATGCTCATTAATATGGTCTAGTGATGATAGTATTAACTTTATTTGCTTGTAGGGAGGCATTTTGCAACCCACATACCAACAAATTCTATAAAAAAAGGAACTGAGAAGGCAATGTGCTGTGTGTTGCACCAAAAAAGGCAACAATGGGAAAAAAATATGTAAAGAGAGTGGCATTTGGTGTGAAGAACATAAAGTGGATTATGTTTAGAGCCATGTTTCAAAGTTTACCACACTAAAAAGAAATTGTATAATAATAAGTGAGTACAAGTAATATTATTAGCTGTACAAATTAGTTAGCATGCATATTTATCAAAATCAAAAATATCCTGTGTATTTTTATATTTTTATTCCATGCACGCTAAAATTGTATGAGCCGTACTTTTTTTTTTTTTTATTAAAAAACTACTAAAATTCCTGCATTATAATAATTTTGTTTATAAAGATGTGAATAGTAATATATGAAGATAGAGAAAATAAAACAAAAATGCCCTGTATTTCAGTACTAGAAAGTATCAAGCAGTATACGAAGGGTTAATATGGCTCAGCATCTACTAGATCTTGATAATTCAATTGATCTGAAGGATAGCATTAAAGAACACTCTCAAAAACTCAACTCGATAAAAAAATCCTTTTCCTGGAAGGGGATTACAATAAAGAAGATAAGATGCAATAAGTATTACAGTTGAATTTAAAGAAGTAAGGTAATGAAAAATATAAATTTTAGTGTTATTTTAAATTGAAATGCAATTCAGACTGTAAATAATTATTAAACATACACTCTCAACAGTTTACTAATAAAATGTTAATGTGTTTTACAAGTAAAAAATAAATATAACAATATGCGAATTTGCAATAGCAAATTTTTGCTTTATTTTACATTTTAGATTTAAAGGATGGAAGTGCAGTTACACTTCTGTATCTGCTGATTCAATATTCTTGATTTCAGTTGCAGCGAGGGGGGGGGAGTGAGAGAGAGAGAAGGTATGATATTAAAGTTTCTAGCATTCTTCTTTCTCATGAGTACTATATTAACCATGCCAGTATTTTTGTTGCTTTGATAAAAAAAGGGGGGGTTATTTCTGTCAGCTCTACATTACAGTAGAAAAACTTAATTTCTTCATTTCTGATTCATCTTTTGTGAATTAGGCTAAAATACCCAAATCAATTATTTTTATACACAATGCTGAGTCTACAACACATTTTGCACTATTTTATTTAATAATATGTCATGAAATGCAGTCTAATGCACTGCATTTTCCTTTACTACTTTAGTCAATGTTATTAATATCTTCCAATGCATAATTTACCAACTAATCTTGATCTTGTGATGTACATTATACAAATATTCTATTTTACATAGCATTAGCTATTTATTACTTGTGAATATGGTAGTAGATCTGTATTAGATGTTAAGCAACATGCTACACGCAGAAAGCTGGTTTTATGTAGGGTGGCCCAAGATACACTTAAAACCAGGCAGGTGAAAAACACATGAACTGTAAGGCAATATCATAAAAGTACATAAAAGGTAAACTTAATGTGCATCACAATTTCCTGCATGGCATTTAAAATGCTATCATTTGTTGCCATGTCAAATAGATTAAAACTTTTCAGTTTCTCTTCTCCCCTGTCGATTTTGGTTTATTACAGACCATCTTGCAATATATTTTAGGAATTAAATGCAAAAATTATAGCAGATGTGAAAAATAGAGATACATTTCTTAAATATTAGAAACATATTTTACTATTTACATTTGGCCAGATAGCTATATTTCCTGGTTCATTACAATAAAATTAAATATAATAAAATTTTTATTTACTATAGCTAATTCTCATGGATTACCAAATGCAAAGAAAAGTGCACTATAATTCAAATAATTATCATATAATATTGAATTTTTTAAATGATTATTTACCTAATATTAACAAGACTGTTCATCAGTTTTGCAGCAAACTCTTTCCACTCACCATCACATGTACTATACTTTAGAGCTATTATTAAAAAATAAAATTTACTGCAGGACAAGAAAACATGAGGGAAAAAAAGGAAATTTAAATAAAATAGGAAATCAACAAAATTTACAGTACACATGCTTAAAAGTTAAGGATATACACTGGTGTGCAAAAATTAAGGACGAGACGGTTTTTTCAATATAACTTTGTACAAAAGCTTTCCAAATCAACACATTTAATACCGTAAGATCCCCAATACGTAAGGACATGAGTAATGTAAGCAACACTTACTAAAAGAGAAATCAGAGGGATAAAAAGAAGCTTTATTGAAAAAGTAGCATGGAGCGGAATGCGACTGAAGGCCGAAACATCCCTGTGATGGGTGTCCAGCAAGAAACATCCGGTCTTTAATAGGGGATATGATCTCCCCTGACTGCTAGGCAGGTTTCACAGCATCTGCCCATGCTGAGAATGAGGGTGTCAATGAGTTGTTGAGGCATTGCTGCCCATTCGTCTTGCAGTGCCAATCGAAGCTCCGGAATCGTTACTGGTGGTAAGGTACGAGCTGCCAAGCGTCTGCCTAGAAAATCCCATACATGCTCGATGGGATTGAGATCCGGAGATCGTGCCGGCCAATCCATATGTTCAATATCCTCACTCTCTAAGAGCTGTTCGGCAGCTACTGTGCGATGACATGGTGCATTGTCGTCCATGAAAAGGAACTGTGGACCCATAGCGGCTCTAAAAAGACGCACATATGGAAGAAGAATCTCGTTACAATAACGGGTTGCGTTGACTGAACCTGCGTCGAAGATGTGAAGGTCTTTACGACTACCAAGCATGATGCCTCCCCAAACGAGAACACCGCCACCTCCATACCTGTCCCTTTCAATGATGTTCGAGGGATGATTGCGACTTCCCCGCTCTCTCCACATGAGTATGCGATGAGAATCGCTACTCAGACTGAATCTGCTCTCATCTGTAAAGAGTACTCGTCCCCATTCATTGTCTCTCCAATTCCGGTGTTCCAAGAGTACTCGTCCCCATTCATTGTCTCTCCAATTCCGGTGTTCCCGGCACCACAGAGAACACCTTCTCCGATGGGCAGGCATTAGAGGTACACACCATACAGGACGTCGTGCAAACAGACCACCACCAAGCAGTCTTCTGGCCACGGTAAAATGCGATATTGGTCGTCCAGTCGCCTGTGTCGTGTGTCTAGCGATTTCTCCCGCTGTCTGCCGCCTGTTTCTTCTGGCCTGTAAGGCAATATACCGGTCATCTGCGAGCGTGGTTCCTCGTAGACGATCACTACTAAACCCTCGGATAGCTGTTCCTGTAGTTTGAAATTGTCTCCAAAGTCGTGAAACGATGCTGTGAGCAATTCCGAACTCTGCAGCCACACTTGTCACACTGCGGCCTTCCTCCAACTTCCCAATGATTCGACCTCGGGTAAAAGCATCCAGATGTCATCTAACAGATTGATTATTCGCCATTTCTCGCTGAGGCAGCAACTCGGTGTGATTTTAACTGCTATACGGCGTGCAATGTCTTTGCCAGAAATACTGATCTTACACCCACAACATGCTTTATACTACTCAGACACTCCCCCATTACGTCTACCTGCATATCTGCGCATGTGCTACCGTACATCACCTTACTTAATCTCCTGATTGGTCTTTCTGTCCGCTCTGCCTCTTCGTTCAGCTGATATGCTAATTTTTCGACTTCGTCCTTAATTTTTGCACACCAGTGTATATCAAATGAAAATTAATCATGAAAACTAACCAGTGTTTCTTTTGAAATGTCTAAGAGCCATCTCATGTTTCTGGCGCCAAAGGAAATTGATGCCAGAAACATGATATGTGCAAATTAACATCTGGAAGCATAAAAATCAGCATGCACATAGAATAGAGGATGTGTCATGCATTTTAGCTATATGCTTCCACAAATCTATACTGATAACTGCTATATGTAACAAAATCTTCAGATCAGTGTTTAAGAAAACATTATGTCTACAAAATGATGTTTCAAGGGTATGACAAATGTTCTATCATAATATAAAAGTGTTTTACTTACAGCATAGGATGCCACACAACCCTACCAATTGTCATTTTATGTCACTGACAAATAATAAAACAGGTAGAGTATAATAAGGAAACTCAACAGATATCATTCAGCTGCAGCTAAGAACTATTGTTTCTATTCATACTACTACATGTAGCAGTGATTGAATAAGTATGGTCTATATGCCACAATACGCAGCCAGTCACCTTAAGCTAATGAAACAGGCATGCACCCAGGCTTAGAGGACATCATGTTTCAACTGACCATGCACAGACTGTGCTTTGTTTACTGATGAATCAAGGTTTAGTTTGGACAGTAATTCTTGCTGTACTTTCATCCGGAGAACATTTAACTCGAGAGGGTTACAACATGGTCAATTAGCATCATTTTAGTGGTGATGGTATCCTCAGTGTAGGTTGATTTCACACACATTCTTTCATGCATTCACGTAAGGAATTATGAAAACCAAGACATTCCAAATATGCTTATAGTGCTTGTTGCAAGATATCATTCTGCACTGTCTCTTCAGGAATGCAATCAAATATGCTTAGCATCTATAGCATTTTTCTTACCATCCTAAGATACAAAAGCTGAAATTTACAATATCGTCAATCTTTGAGATTGTCTGCATTTTAAAACATATGGATTAAGTGCATCAAACATATCTGAAACAATGTAAAAGAAAAAAAAAAAGCTGTTTTTTATGCCTTATAAAGCTTGCTTACATGTAAAATATAAGGAAATTTTATAATAAATCAAAGATATCAACTTATTTAATTATCAGATAAAAATTTAAGATTATATCTTTAAATAAGCAGTATAAGAAAAACCATTCTTTCCTGCATATGCTAGAATAAGTACATTTCATGTGCAATAATCAGAAAATTAATACAATACACTTTATGCTATAAAGTGAAAAATATACAACTGAGCATGGTTGAAACATAAAATATTGGCATATTCTTTGCAAATTTCCTCCTAGAGTATGATGCTATTTGATTTTTTTTTTTTTCATTTTATTACTAGCTTATATAATTTTTTATGGTATAAAATATACTGGTCTACAAAATTACAGGAGCATCCTTGTTAAATAATTTTACCCAAATCAGCTGAGTAAAATGTTATTAAACTATCAGTTTGAAATTCAGATTAGTTGGCATGTCTCCAGATTTGAATCTCACGGAACATGCATGAACACATAGAAACATGTTGCTGCTAGACTGCAACCTTCTCTGATATACCTTCAATTTGAAAAATTCTCTTCTCAAACAGTGAGGAAGAATCCTCCAAAACCTCATTAACTACATGATTAATTCAATGCCTCAGAGGTGAGAAGCTGTCTTGCACTACTCAAGTGACCAAACATCTCATTATACAAATGAGTGTCTTAATTATCTCATTATACAGTCAACAAAATGAAATGCTTACTTTTTCATCTCCAGAGGATATAGGGAGCAATGATCTTTTAATGGCACCAGGTGCATTTCTGGTGCCATTAATCTTAATATAAATAAAGCTATTTTATTTACATTAAGATTTCTCACAGTCTGAGTGTTTCCCTTTAAAAAATATAGTTTTATGCTGTGCTAGATATTTACAAGCAGCTGACAGTTCTTGTTAGATTATCTCCTCCCTTAATTGTGCTGAGCACTATATTAAAATTTACAAAACTGATATAATAACTCAGTATACCATAAAACAGTATATTGTATACAGTGAAAAGTCATTAATCTGGACGCCCATAATCCGGACCTCAAAGTTACAAACTTTCTGCACATGCGTCAACGCATAATGCCTTCACGCATGCGCATATGCGTTTATGCAATCGCGTAATACCTATACGCATGCGCATAATACGTGTACACATGCGCGTTTAATATATAACGGACGGTATAAGCTAAGCTAAAATTATCTAATTATCGATTTCAGTTAATGTTGCAGATTGCGTTGTTTCTTAATCTTCGAATTGGATATGGCTTATTTTTTGCAGACTGTTAGAGCAATTTTATAAAAGTAAGCTCGAACTTTTGATTATGTCAAAAAGATTTTTTCCGATTCTGGAGCTGCCAAAGGATCTACAAAGCGAAAGCATGTTGCAATGTCCATCAAAAAAAAAGTGGAATTGCTGCAAAAAAAATGGATAAAGGGATATCCTTTGATTCTCTAATCATTCCGAAATATGTTTATCAATTTCACGCTGCTCCGCGCGGGGGGGGGGGACGACGACGGGGCGCGCAATGAACTGGAAGTAGATCTGTCAGCACTATCCTTATCTTCAGGGCAGATGTTTTTATTTTATTCAGCTTATAATACCTTACTAAATGTAGTATTTTATCTCGATGTACTCCGTCTTTGATATGATTTAAATCAAATTCCTCGTCATTATAAATATCACGAATACACATCAAATAGTTTTCTGGTTGCAATTTTCTAATTTTGTAATGTATGCTTTACGTGTGTGCGCATTGAAAGAAATGCTTAATAAAGTAAACAAATAAATATTAAGCTTTTTTTTTTGTAAATTTTGATACCCTTTAGATTATAATTCTTTATTTCATAAATTACGGTTTCATATTTTTAATTTTATAATTTTCTGCATGCCATCTTACCAGATTTAAACTGATGATCTATAATCCGGAAAAAGCGATAATCCGGAATCGCCGAAGTCCCGACGAGTCCGGATTAAAGACTTTTGACTGTACATCTTGCTACCTGATCATCCATTTCTGCAAAATATTTCCTAATAATACGGTGAAGCTCTATAATATGTTAATTTCATCTCCCATATTTTCAGAGATAGTACTGCTACTTCCACATTTTTTCAAAATGCATTATTGATGGTCTCATTTTGCAAAGCAGGATCTCTTTAATATACAAATCCTTCACTTCCATAGTTGTAATACACATTATTCAAAATTTACAAGGGTGACTTACTTTAGAGGACATGCAACATATTGCAATAAATATAGCTATTAAATATCTCATGTTTTACTGAATTTAATGCAAGTATACTTTTAATATCTTATACTAAAGGTTTTCTGGTATTGAAGACAAAAATCATTAAAAGCTTACTTAGTGAATACAAGTTGTCAAATACATAGTTCATCCGTACAATTTCATAATAAAGCTCATCATAGCATGAAGGAGAAGGAAGGAAAGTATCACCAAAGGTTATGAATAAGTTAAGTACATTCATCACCTAGAAAACAATAAATATCTAAGATAAATCTGACATATAATGGAACAAATTCAGACGCTAGAATGAAATCATAATAATTTTATATTATTCATATTGCCATAGAATTTTAACTTATTGTGAATACTGGAAGAAATGCTTATAATCAATAACATTATTTGCACAAATATTATATCTACAATTCAATATATATTTCTCAACACAACTCCAAAGATCTTCATATCTAATTGAAATATTTCTAATCAGGCCTGGTACCAGCATGTTTGGTGCTAAAAAACTTCAAGATTCAAAACTTTTAATCATGCAGATCATTTAATAAATTTCCTTTGTACATCCTTAATATATATATATATATACATATATTTTTTAAATCTCTGCTCTTAAATTTGTTTCTCATTGAACATTTGATTTCAGATTTTACTTTAATTAGAAGTTTTTAATGTTAAGTTTATTATTATTACTATCTTATGAAGGCTAAAAAAAATTTGACATTCAAGCACCCTTCAGGATTTGGATTCATGAATACTTGGGCGTTTTCTAGTATTTTAAAACTCAGCTAACATACTGTCATTCTCGAGATAAGCCTGGTTAGCATGCTCTGTAAATCAGTGCTATAGGCACCTGCCAATGTCATCTATATGTTTATGCACGCACTGACTATAATTCACGCTTGGGAACATATAACTATATGAAAATGCCATATAACAGGAAAATTCCTTATACATCTGTAAAATTCAGGAATCCTCACACTAGAGAGTTCAATACTCTCTAAATAAAACATTTGCTAGAAAATTTCTCTACAAGGTTGAAATTCTTCCTATGATAATTGAATTTAAAAAAAAAAAAAAAAAAAAAAGGAAAGAACACACACAAAATACAAAAAACTGTAAGAAACCTGAATTCACTTTGATGAAAATTTATATTAAAATGTAACCAAATATTTTTATTACAGCAACATATATATTTCATTTGAGTTCAAAAATGAACTGAATTTTTATGGCAATTGAATATGAAATAGTTGCAGTAGGTATGTGTTCAATCTTCAGAATGTACATCAAATTTGCAACTCCAGAAATGCAAATTTGTAATTGCAGAATATGATGAATCAACTTGATATGACATGCATAGTTAAAATATGTTCAGTATCAATCCAAACACATAAACCATTTCCTTAAACTATTAATGCATACTTTTAAATTAAGAAGTATGTTTTAATAAATGACAATATGTCTCCTGTTTTGGATTAAGTTCACAATTTCTAACGAAAAGGGACATATGCTTTCCCCGAAATGCTATGAACATCGCTTTAATTAATATAAAAAACGTGACACAATGTAATATAAAACATTTTAGCATTTATTAAAGTTGACATCAAATCAAAATTATTTTGTACATCATTACAAAAATTATGAATGCATATATACACCTACCTGTATAGAAAGATGAAATATATTACAATTTTTTGCAAGCAAACTTTCTTGTGTTATTAAAAATTTTACCAAACTGATCAAGGCTGAAAGAGAATACAATTTATAAAAGCTTTGTACTTAATAAAATTAACCACAGTATAACAAAAAAAGTCCAACACCATGCACAAATCTAAACAATGATGTCAAATTAAAATAACTATTTTGCGGCAAAAAATCAATACACTAAATCACAAAATTAACAAAATATTGGAGAACACAACATTTATTTTTATGTTTGAACAGAAATAATAATTCAACTCAATTGCAAGTTTGCTGATTGATGGGTTTTGCTCTCTCAAGCATTCTTTTAATTTTCTTCAAATACTGGGAAGTAGGAAAACTAGTAAATTAGATTTACCTGAAACCTTTTACTTTTACCAAAATTTAATACTTTAGTTACTGATATGAAATCTAATCATCATTTAACACACAGCTGGGGCAACACAGCTGTATTAGAGACAATGTAACTAGAATGCATGCCCACAGTGCTTGCTTAAGATGAAATAAGATACATGCAGAGAACACACATATTCAGAAAATTATTAGGGAACAGATAGACTCAGAAAATCATATTATCTGATAATATCAAAGATAAACAAAGATCTAGTTTTGCTTATAAACTTTTCTCCACATCATAATTCTAGTTCTTAAACAGAGTTATTTTATAAACCATCATTTGTGAAATCCGTATACAAATCCTTCACTTCCAAGTCATTTACAAGAAGTACAAAAAAAGGCACAGCAAACACTATCCACAACAAAAGGGATATAAATAATAAAAGCAGAAAAATGATCTTTTAGTTACAGGAAATTATAGCTTTTAACTATCAACAAGCATATGTAGAAGCTTGTTTAAAGTAGGATTTATGCATCCTATCCTTAAAGGTGAATGGGCTGGCTGCATGGGCATTTCGTAGTTTTCCCCAAGTGTAATGTGTACAAGTGCCAGTTTAACATAGAAAATTATCCTTGAAGGTATTCCCCTCTTATGAAGATAGCCCTTGAGTGCCTTATCATAATCAAATAAACAAAAATCATCTTTAAAGTACAATATTCAAAAAGTACTTGCTTAAAAAATGAGCAATGAATGTGAACAAAACCAGCAAAAAAATTCTTCCAGTAGGAAACACAAGGTTTTTTTTTTTTTTTTTAAAAAAACCTCAGGTGGCCCTTGAGTTTAGTGCCCTTCTCATACTCACCGAGAATGTTATAAAATGTTAAAGCACTTGGAAATTAATCAAACACTATGTTTATTTCTGAATCAAAACTTTTAATTCCAACATTCTAAATGCTATTTTTCTTGTTTTGCTGCTAGCTGTTGATAATTTCATTATTCATTTGCACACCTACAAAAGTCTATTAAATTACTCAACTGTAGTTCTGGATATAGAATGCAAGATTTTATAAGCATGGGGGGGTCTTATTTATAGATTGTAAGCAATGCAGAATCAACTCTGAAAATTCCATTCACTACTACTAACAGTTAACTACATTTATGAGAAAAATCCAGTTATGGTTCAACAGTCAGAACTGGGCTGTAGAAAATATTTTTAAAAACAAACTGTAGAAGTTCAAAGCAACTTTTTTTATGATGCCTTTGCTTTCACTTCCATAGCAGCAATAGAAATAAAACTCTGAAGTCTTTCAATTTCTTCTCTTTTTCTTTCAATGAGAAATTCTTTTTTTATTAATATAAGTTTGCTGACAATCACATTTATAATTCAATAGATCTGACGAGTAAAGAAGACAAAGAATGAACAGCTTTTCAAATCTCATGACAGTTTTTGAAGCACTAGACTCAATTCAAAAATATTTCTCTTATTAATTCAATTTTATATGACAAGTTAGCATCCGAACTTTTATTTACTTGCAGTTTATTTATCCCTTTTCCTACAAACTCCATTTCCCTTCACATTAACATTACTTTCTTTGTGAATAAATATATTAAAAAAAATATGACAATTTTGTATTCAATAAATTCTTAAGATCAGAGTATCTTTTGGGTAATTATTTATATGCAAACAATCAACATTCAACATAAAAATTAGAATAAGAAAAATATAAACACAACTCAGAAAGTCTAACTTAAGAATAGAAAAAATTCCCTAATCTACACAAATGGTGGTTCCAAGCCATACATATCATTGGAATTCTAGGATAATATTATATACATATAACTAATTATTGGCTTTCCTGCCTCGTTCAACTTAACAACACTACAGGTCCACTCTCCCTTTAGGACAAGTCGCATAGGTTCAACCTCCGCTATTGCCCCTCCAGGAGAGCGGCATACCACCTGGCTTTTGCCAGGCAGCACTGGTTGTTTGATTTACTACCTGCCAGTCACTCGGGCTGCCCATCGCAGTGGGTCATTAACCAGCAAACTGGGAGGGCGCTACCCACCCGGCTACTAGATTTGCCAGACTTGCTAGACCCCGGGGCCAGCCAATAAGTGGCCTTTCCCAGGGCCTTCAGAACCACCAAGTTCATAAATTTTATACCCCCACGGCAAAGACTACCTAGGCACAGATCCTAGCCAGCAGCTTTGCAGAATTCTCTACGTCGAGGGGGAGATATATATATATAAGGATTTCAATTAATAAAATGTTCATAAAAAAATAGAATTTTTTAATTTAATTGTTTTCATGTAATTCTTCAGATGCTGATAAAAGCATTACACAGGAAGTCTTGCATATTGAGTAAGCTCGAAACTGATTAATAAATTATCATAACTGATTATGATAATTTATTTACCAACTTCCAAATGTACTTAAGGTTTCCTCTGAAATTTTAATACAGCTGGATATTTAGATAATTCTATTTTCATTCAGAAGTAAATCATTAATATAAAAGTACCTAAAAAAAGCTCTTAAATGAAATTAAACAAAAAACTGGGGTAAGTGTGAGAGAGAAAGAAAGACAAGAATGTTTCATTAATCATGACATAATTACTTCCTGAAACTGGATGAAAAGCTGAATATATTAATTTTTTACAATTTTCAGTTTGCCCAGTATTTTCTTGTAGTAAATACACGCAAGTGTGCATGAATGAGCAACACTTTTCTGTTAAAGCTATTCCATGCAGTTAGGTTCATTCATTTACCCATGCCTTTAGCTTTACACAAGACAAAATGGAATGACCAGAAACAGCAACAAAACATTTTCTGTCTTCACTAAAAAATTCTCTAAAAAGCCACTGAGAGAAAAAACAAACCTATGTAGCTTTTTTTCTTTCTGTGGATAAGTTTGCATCAATTTCTACAATTTTGTAGTGTCCACTGATTTTAATCTTAGGACAAGATAACAAAGATTTAGCACATACCTTTCTCATGCAGCTGAAAGTTATTAAACACTGGTAGTTTAACCCAGATTCGAATCCCGGCAAATGGGCTGACTGCATGGGTGTTTTTATAGTTTTCACAATGTGCAACACAGATACGAGCCAGTTTCCCTTAGAAAGTCCCCCACAAAGGTACCCCTTCCCACAGCCAGATAGCTCTCATGTTATTTGCCATTAAACCAAACCAGGTTCTCTCATATAAATATTCCCAGCAACTATTGTGATTCCTATGAAAGGAGCTTTGGTTCAAGAAATTCAGCAGAAATTAACTAATGACACCATAACTAAATGAACTGGTGATAATGAAAAGAATGTTTGATCAAAGAAATCCTGTTTGTGTTTAGACATCCTTTTATCCCAATAGGGACAAATGCATAATAATCATTTTGGCTTCATATTTTAATTTCATGAGGTTGTTACTCAAAAGTAATCTTCTTTGTGAAGACTTATCTGTTTTTTGAAGAAGCAGTACAGCTGCTTGTTCATCTCTTGGCAAATATTTAAGTCATAAAATCCACTGTACTACATAGTCATTCAAATGATGGTCATACCATAATAAAAGGCAATTATCACCAAGAAAGAAGCTAAAACAAATATGCACTGAGGAAATATGCCAAAGCAAAATCATTTAAAGAAAATTTAAAGGAAAAGTACTGAAATAACCTATTTTCATACAACATACCACTTTCCCACTCTCTCCCTATGTATACTTATCTGTATCTGTGTGCTTACATGTACAGACATAAACAAGCCCACAGTATATAAAATCATCACCTTAGTCCATTTTTTGTTACCTATAACAAAGAATGCAGTTACATATACAGGGTATCTCAAAATGACCCCATAAACTCTGCACAGCTAGATTCCTCGTTGGGAGTACATAAAAACTGCCCAAAGAAGCATACTTGTATGATCCATAGTTTAAGAGAAAATACAAAAAACAATGTATGACGTCACTGCCGGTGCAAGAAAAAAAACCACTTTATTGGACATATCAACAACAGTATTGGCATATCTTTCTAGACGATGTAATGTATTTTGCAGTAATTGACAAAACAGATAATCTTCTTAGTAGAACATAAATTTTATTTTTATTTTACGGAGATAGATAATTTGAAGAAAATTATTTTGTGGCAAAAATTTCATACAACTAATAGCTGGAAAAAACTTCAGAATACTAATCTTAAAAACAATTTCTTATGTTGCTGAGCAATGGTTACATAATACAAATATGGCATTGCCACTTCAACAATAAATATAGTTATTTGATAAATAACAAAATATTACAATGATAATGTTTAACGTTCGCTGCGGTGTATCGCTACGGTGCATGCAGACGAGCATTGGTGTGACAACACCAATGCTCGTCTGCATGCTGCTTGTACTTTGGTGGACCCCACGATGCTGCAACATGTGATGACAGCCATTCCACGCCATGCTCAAGCCTGCCTCGACATGCACGGCAGACACTTTGAACATCTGCTTTAAATTGTGCATATACTGCTGTTGATATGTTCAATAAAGTGTTTTTTCTTGCACAGGCAGTGACAGCATACTTGTTTTTCGCATTTTTCTCGTAAACTATGGATCATACAGGAACGCTGCTTTGGGCATTCCTGTACGATCCATAGTTTTGGATTATCAATAACCAGAAAAATTTCAAAAAACTATCAAATTGTTTGGGAAAAGTATTAATTATAATTATGTGTTATTTTCAAAATATGCTATACTTAATAAAATATATTCCTTTCAAAATTTAAATATAGGGTATGGGAAAACTGAATAACATGATAAAAAAAACAATGCCAAGCGCATATTCCAGCAAAATGTATACAGCAATTCGGCATTGAGCAATTGTCATGGAAGCAACAGGCAATGTCTGTGGCATTTTTTTTAAATCAATTATTTAAATATTTAGACAAGACAGGAATTTAGGCAGCTTGACATTTATAAGAAGAAATTGAGTACTGACAAAGTGGAATGGTAGCCATTATAATTACTATACTATCTACAAATAAGTATTTACACATCCCTGCAAATGACGAGGCGAGCGGTGATAGTCGGAATGCACCCTGAGTGAGCAGACCCATGAAACTGGGAGACACCGACCAATAGGTGAAGTCCCAAGAAATTTGGAAGAACCACAGTCAACTGATGGCCCACATACTGCAAGAGTTACAACAGGCATCCAGGAGTGTTGCTTTGATGAATACCATCCGTAAAGAAGCACACCTGCTTGGTTTTCATGGTCGTGCCGCCACCCATAACACACAGTGCTGTTGGATTCTGATCACGAGGTCCAACCACGGTGCTCACTTAATGTGGTGCAAAGCACATCAACAGTGTACCCTAGATTAGTGGAAATCGGTTCTCTGGAACAGTGAATCAAGATTCACCCTCTAACTTTTGGATGGCAGGCTCTGGGTCTGGCGTCTGCATGAAGAAAGTAGCTTACTAGAATGCACAGTAACCACAGCAAAGGTAGAATTATGGTCTAGGGGTGTTTCTCCTGGCATGGATTGAAATCCCTGGTACAGATTCATAGTAAGCTCAACCCCAATGCTTACTACACTATTTTGGATGACAGCGTGCTTCCTACATTGCAGCAGTTTTACGGGTTGAACCCATGTTACTTTCAAGATGAGAACACCAGCTGTCATGTTACAAAGTCCACCATGGATTGGCATGAGGATAGTGGGGTTAACTGAATGGACTAGTCTGCTCACAGCACAGACCTGAATCCCATTGAGAACCTCTGGGACAAGTTGGATCACCAAAGTAAGGGGTGCAACAACATTAACATCGGTGAAGGAACTTAGATGTCTTTTCCAAGCTAAGTGTATGAAAATATCAACAGCCGTCACCTAGCTTGTGGAAAGCATGGCCCGGAGTGTTGCGACTGTAATTATAGCTCGTGGAGGCTCTACAAACAATTGAATATGAATAAATTTTGTTTTTCTTTTCTATCACAGGTGTCCAAATCCTTATTGGTACACAGGGTATTCTGCAAATTGCAGTGGAAATGGTACAGAAGAAAGATGACTCCATGTAAACAGAACTGTTTCCAGAATAATGAAGTTGATGCCACAGATGTTATCAGTAACAACTAGTTATTGAATGGAATGCTTTTCTAGAGACTTCACAAACTTGTAATTATTAAATACATTAACAATAATTTTGTGCATTTTGCATAGTTAATTATTTAATTAAATTGTTATCTTCCACACCTGGTGAATTATGCTGTGTTGAAGAACATAATAAATTTAGAAACTCCTACCTGTCCACAGTTCTTTCCAATTATATTGTAATCTTACACGACTTTTCTTTTGATGGCAAAGAATCCGATGTATAACACCTAAACAAAGGCTATATGGGGGAAAAAGAGGAATTAAAAAAATCATTATTATCATATTTGAAGCCCTGGTGAAGCAATGAGTAATTAAAATTACAAATCAATATCTCTAATTAAAAAATTACATTTTTAATGTGAATGTAAAATGAAATGTTCATTTCAAAACTAATCTAACTGAAAAAGGTATTCCTTCTGATCTAATAAGCAACACTAGAGTATATAAAAATGTATCCTCAATTTACTTTACCAGAGTGCATATAAGACTGTTAAACTATAGTAACATAATGAGTGAACAAGAAAGTAGTAAAAAACAAACTGTAGTGCTGTTCACAGATTGCCTGGTTATTGTAAAAATGAAAACCAATTCTCATTTTACTAAAAATGTAATGAAATCTAGAAGAAAAATTTTAACAAGCCTTTATAGTCATAATACTGACTGATCAAAGTAGAAGTGGGATATAATATTCCGAGAGGGAATAACAGGAAGCACATATCAATCTTCATTATAGATTTTTCACATGATCTAACTAATAAGAGTTTGATATTTACCTCATAAATTTTACAGCTCGAAAATCGCTAAAACTGTATATTTGCTTCACTTTTATAAATATCCATAATCAGACAACAAAAATAGTAATTAAATAAAATATAAAAAGAAACTGAAATGGTTCAGATATTTACATGCCTGAAAGGACTCATTTTCCCTGCAGTATCCGCTCTTCTTCTCACAAAAGACATATGAATTATTTTCTAGGTCGTTTCGTTTTTTTAGACCAATATTCTTCATTATTCCAATTTCATTTGTTATCATGTAACTTTGTCAGTCACTTTTCACATGATAAAAATTCACCCTCTTCAGTTAACTAACATTGTGACATCCCTTTATCTGAAATGTGATACGAATAACAAAAGTGATATGATGCAAAAGAAACAATGAGTACAAACGGAAAAATTCAGATTTGAGACCAATAGCCCTTTCACCCTAAATAGCAGGCAATAAGGGCTCCATAAGATGAAACTGCATTTAAAGAAATTAACAAAAGTGGTAGCTCAAAACAAATATTTTTTGTAGACAACTTCCTACAATTCACTTAACTATGCAGCACAATTCGGAAAACCATCTAGTAATGTGTTCAGAAATTCACCATGAATGATGAATGATTTGACAAGAAACAATCATGAACATCATCCTTCAGTATTGGGAGAAGCCAAAAATCAATTAAGCTGTGACATCAGATCTGTACAAGGCATACAAAAGCAACTTTGATGTTGCTGTCACTAAAAAACATCTGACCAAGAGCATTCTGATGAGATGCAGCATTACTTTGATGAAACAGCATACCTGCACTTTTTTCAAAAAACGTCTGACCAAGAGCATTCTGATTTTGATGAAACAGCATACCTGCGCTTAAAAAAAAAAAAAAAAAAAAAAAAAAATTCTAGAACTAAAACACTAAAGAAATAGCACACCAAAAAACAGGAAGATTTAAATGGAATTACTAACAAAAGCAGAACTACATCTTTTTAAACAACAGCATTGTGAAACATTGTCTCCTAATGGCATTATTCGCTGTTACCAGAACTTATTAACTAAATTACATACTATTATTTGCTTTCTTTTTTAAAACATACTTAACACTTCCCCCTTGTGAATAAAAAAAGAATAATAATAAACTAGAAGAAAAAGTCACACAAGCTCCATCTCGTCACAAAGAATCAACAGTCGCGGTTTAAATAGAGGTTTAGTCATAATGTCAGCAGCTTGTTCCTCTGTAGTTACTTGCTGCAAAATAATTTGCTTTTCTAGAACTTTGTCCTGTATAAAATAAGTGCTTGATAGTGATGTGTTTCATAAATTGATGAAATTCAGGATTTTGTGAGTCTCACTCACTATCTACTTGAATTACTTGGAACTTCATGTAACTTGATAACATCACTAAATAGTTGCTTTAACCAAATTACTTCTCTAGAACATTTATTAACTGCAATTTTCTCTGCTTCTGTTGACAAAGTTGCAACAACTGGCTGCCTTTGGCTAATCCATAATATAACTCCACCACTATATATTATCACTACGCTATCTGTAGGTTTTCCTCGTTCTTCACATCCTCTGAAATCTGCATAACACTCTAGTATAGTTTGTATTTATTCTTGTATGTAACACCTTTAGTAAGAGAACCTGTTATATATCTGAATACATATTTCAGTTTGATCCAGTTGTCTTTTGAAGGACTTTCAGGAAGACATGAAAGAATGCCGATACAATAAGCTAAATCCGGTCTTCCTAACACATCCTACAGCTCCTGAAACTCCTACAGCTTCTCTACAAGAGAAAATTTCTGTGTTTCCCTAATCTTCCTTTTTCTTTTCAGTTAAACTTTCCTTCAAGATAGATGTTAACATTGGTTTACAATCTTCCCTTCCTAATTTCTGAAGAATTTTTCTTGCATAAGCTTGTTGACTAACTTTGATACTTCCACCTTCAAGATGCTTGATTTCAGGTTCAAGAAAGTATACTGCCTGTTTAATTGTGACTCTGAACTTCGACTTCAATTCTCTAAGAAATTTTTCAAATTCCTGTAGACCTGTTGATGATACCAAACCATCATCTACATATAAGCATATGATTAGCTTTTTGCTACTTTTCTTTCTTATATGTATGCACAGATCTGCCTCACTTGTCTTGAAGCAAAGTTGCGACATAAAGTCTCCAAAATATTGATTCCAAAAATGTAATGTGCGTTTTCATTATATAAATTATGTTTCAGCCTAAGACTTTGTCAGAAACATCACTATATCCTTCTGGTTACTGCATATATACAGGTTCTTCAAGTGTTCTATATAAGAATGCTGAATAGACATCAAAATGAGAAAGATGCATTTTCTTGTTGGCTGTATACCGAGAATTGAATTAATAGTTCCTAACTTTGTTAGTGGACTATATGTTTCATTGTAATTAACTTCAAAACACTGAGTAAACGATTTGGCAACAAGTCTAACCTTGAATTTATCAACAGATCCATCAGGGTTCTTTTTCTATTACAAACTCACTCATATGGCATAGCTTTAGCATCCTTTGTTAATTTTTCTAAAGTCAAGATTCATTTTCTGTTAGTGATGTCATCTCAGAATACATAGCTTCTTTCCATTGTAAACTTTGTTTACAGCTGATCGCTTCTTCATAAGTAATAGGCTCTTCAGAACGAGCAATAAAAATTTCATCTATCATTATATAATTTTCAAAACACTTTAGCTTCCTTAATTCAGCTCTACTTCCCAGGTATCGTGATTGAGCATTATTTTGCAAATTTATATCTTCACATTATTGTTCTTTGAAATTCGATATATTTCTTCATTGTATTCTTTTTCTGAATTACCTTTTTCACTAAAAAGCTTTTCTGAATATTCCTGATACTCAGAACTAAAAATTAGTCTGCCTTGATCTTGAATAAACAACTATACGCTTTCTTCACAATTTCTGAGCTGCTCACTGAATATAACATCACGTGAACAGACAATACTTTTGGCTTCTTTAATACTTAGGGAGTATCTTTTGTTTCCATCATACCCAATTAAATAAGCTTTTGCAGCTTCATTATCCATTTTCTTTCGTCTTTGCTAAGAAATATGAGCATAATAAACAGATCCTATTATGCACAGATGCTTAATTCACCGTTTCTTTTTAATAATTAGCTCAAAAGGACTCTCAACCTAGTCCTTTTGAGCAAATTATTAATTACAAAATTAGCAAATCATCAGTTGAAGGCCTGATGCTGTCAACTGATGATTTGCAAGTTCTGTTTAGTACATACATGACTGTGTTAATTAGTTCAGCCCACATTGCTGCAGGAAAATGAGCTTCTGAATTCGAGCACTCAAACGTTCTTGCCATCTTCATTATTGCACGCATATGTTGTTCACTGAAGCCATTTTGCTTTGGAAAATAAAGTGCTCTTAGAGTTTGAATTATTTCTTTAGAATGCAAAATCACATGCACTTTGTCACTGTTAAACTCATCTCTGTTGTTGCTGAGAAATTCTTGGACTGTATGTTGCAAATTTTTAGCATGTGTAAGCACATGCTTTAACATACTTGCAACTTCAGACTTTTCCTTGGCAAAATAAATATACCACAACATTGTATACCTGTCTTTAAACACAACTAAGTCTCTTTTTTGCTGGAAAGATTCATCAAAAGGTCCACAAAACATTAACTGAAATTAATTCACCTGGCTTGCTCTCTTTCTTTCTTACGTCAAATAATAAATTATGGACTTTGCCAAAAATACATAGTTGACTCAACATTCCTTCATATGGCACTTTAATGCCTAATTCTTTCTCAAGTGTGTTCTTGGTATGACGTTTATCTTGATGCCTCTGTCTTTGATGATATAACTCGAACAAGGGTCTGCTTTGGCTGCATGCACTTATATAATTTTCTCAGTCATAACTGGTTCAACAGGTACCCTTGTTAAAGTACCATATACAGGGTTATTAAAAAAAGAAAGCGCAGATTTCAAACATTTATTTCTTCCAAACTACAAAAGATGGAAACATGATTCTAAAATTAATGGATAGAGAAAAGTTTACAATTATGGTATGCATTCAATGTATGCATTCAATAACTGCAGTTTGTATGGTTTCATGTGCAGATGATATTTTAGAACTCACCATACCATTGGTTGAGAAATTTTAAGTTCTCTGCTTGCTTGCGATGTGGATTTCTTTGGGCTCCTTTCATAAAGTGTATGAATATGCTTGACATTCTCGTTCAAAGTGCATGGACGTCTCGTGCTTTTCCCTTTGCAGATGCAACCATCTTCTACGAATTTTCGATGCCACTCATAAATTTGCTTATGACATGGTGGTTGTTTTATTAAATTGACAGCGAAATGCTTGCTGAACTGCAACAATGGACTCTAGTTTTGCCAATTGTAGAACACAAAAAGACTTCTGCTGTGGTGTCGCTGCCATTTCACTACAGACTACAAACCGACAATACCAGAAGAAACAACAGCACCAATGCGGCCACAATTGGAACTTTCACCCATACTAAATTGTACACTTTTCTCTATCCATTAACGTTAGAATCATGTTTCTATCTTTTGTATTTTGGAAGAAATACATGTTTGCAATCTGCTCTTTCTTTTTGAATAACCCTGTATAATGTGAGTACCGATCAGCCCTACTTGATCATTAACATTTAACCAGCATTCTGTAGGTGTTGCAATGAATTTACTATTCTGAATTTACTATTCTGATTATTTACTATTCTGATTTCTTGTTCTGAGCAGCAAGTAAAGAAAATAAATTTCTGTTTGCCTCAGGTACATATAAAACGACCACCTTCAGATTTTTTATGTATAATCGAGAATTGTGAAATAGTGCCAACCAAAATAGATCAAACAATTACATCTTTGCAGTTTTGCCATTGTGAAGATAACTGCTGAATAGTGATAACTGATGCTGGAACAGCTACAGCTTGGTGTGTACCGAGAGTAAGAGGTGAGAAGAGTAAGAGGTCTACAAGGGCGAGAAGATACATCCTTTTCAAAAAATTTATCCATTAGAAGTATCAGCAAAAAATGATATTGATGTCTTGAAAGCTTCTAGAAAATGTGACATATCTGTCAGAACTATTCCCGACACTTCCATAGAGAACACTGAAGTGAGACACCCTCCCAAAAGTAAACCAGGAAAAACAATAAGAATTCCTCATCGAATGGATTTATGAACATTGTTTTTTTTCCCCAACTCTTGCAGTTGTACAGGACATAAGGTTTACATTCACAAATTTGAAAATTATGCTTGTTCTAAATTTGAACTGCAAAATTCAATTAGTAAATTTCACTTTGCAAGGTGAGAGTATGTTAAGGATTGTACAATAAAAAGTAACAGTATTTAAACTTAGCTACTACTTCACCTATTATTTTTAAGTTATGTTTTGTTATTAATTGTCCTGTTGTTGATTGGCAATCATTATTATCATTGAGAAAAATATTCTTTTTCCTTAGAATGCAGTGTTCTCAGCTTTTTTTATGTTGTTTCTATTAGCAATGTTAATTTAAGGCTGCCTTTTCACTGAATAAATAGTTGCTAATTTTTAAAAGTATCATATTCATTCATCTGGAGAACTTGTTTGAGTTCTTTTGAGTGATTTAAAAGCTGTCCGTAACTTTTTTGTTTGCAGTTGTTTTTTGCAATATTATCATTCTCATTCCATTTGAATTGAAGAAACCATATGCATATATTATACAGGTGATTTTCAGAAAATGCTTTAAGTAACTTATGTAATTCCAATCACACTTTTCTAGCAGTCTGAAACCTCATAACGTTTTGAAGTTTCTTCTCTCATACAGTTTGTTAATACCATCATAGCATTTATATTTGCGTTTTGAAACTTTTTAATAGCTTCATTATATTTCTCTCATTGCACAACTGAAACATCTACGGGAAGATTTTCTGGTTTCACTGAAGTTCCTTCCACAATTTTTAAAAATAAATTTCCCCCTGTACTTCCATATAAGTCAATCACTTTTGCCTGATAAAGGCTTTACTTTGACCTTAGATAATTGCATTCTTTGATTTTGAAACAACTTTTAATTGCTATGATGAAAAAAACACGAAACACTTATTAGATTAGGCTTAATGAGTTTCGTTTTACTCTTATCAATTCACTTGACGCAGTATGGAAGCTTGGTTGACCCATAACAAAAACAGTGTTTCTAGAATTAAAACAGTAAAAAAATAGCAAAGTCAAAATTAGGGAGTTTAAATTGGAATTACTAAGTAAAGTCCAATTACACTTTTTGAACAAAAGCATTGAGAAGTGCATTCTCCTAAATACAACAACACTCATTGTTGCCGGAACTTATAAACTAAATTGTACATTATTTACTTTCTTGTTTTTTCAATTATACTTTAACATTTTCAGACTATTTTACTCGTGATGGGGGGCGACCTTAACTAACTTTTCAAAAACATTTTTAATCACTGTGGTGCCCACAGTCAATCAGCATCACTCATATGTTGAACTTACACAATTATGTGGTCCTTTTATTTTCTGTTTTTTGCTGGTTGAAATACTGGTTTTGAACAGTTTTAGCAGCAGCTGCACATTTTTACTATCTATCATTTCATTACCACAAGTCTCAGTCAACTGACTGTGAATTTTGACAGGCTTCATAGCAGAGAAGTGGGAAAAATTAACAATATGCTATTCTTTGACTGTAAATATCACCTACAATGCTACTACTATGAGACAGGAGCCTGAGGTTTCTGTAAGCCAGATTAGTTGAATCATCTGGGTTATTTAATATGCCCAATGATTTAAAAAATAATTTTCATATTTCTATATGCTTTCATTCCCAAGGGAAAAGAAGTTAAACTTATAACATGAATTCATGTTATGGAAACTGCTCCCTTCTTCTCTTCTTCGGTGCACCAGTGGCCGTGCAGTTAAAGACTGCTGAACACTAGTAGTTCATTCCCGGTTTGAACCTAGACAAATGGGCATACTGCATGGTCGTGATTGGTTTTCATCCTTTTCTCCATTAAGCCTTTTGACGTGCGGTGGTCACGCCTTGAAACCACCATTTTAAAATTTTTTTTCTCCTCTTCCTTCGGAAATTTTCAAGTGAAAAATCAATTGATTACTGATCTTTGACCTCTAAATAACACAAAATGACTACAGAATCATACATGTTTTAGGTCTTAGTACTTCAAATCAGATGCCTTTTAAAATTCGTTTTCAATGAGACAAAATAACTTCCTTTTATTAATATAAACAACTTTAAATTTCAAAAGTTATTCATCGCACATTATGATTTCTATCATAAACAATAACAAATAGCAATAATTAAACTACATATATTAAAAAAAACCTCTATATGTATGGCATTTGCTTTGTGGTTTCAGGGTGCCACCACTGCCCCATTAGAGCATTTTGTAGAGACTTGGTGGTCGCACCTTGAAACCACTGCTCTTCACAATGGCATTTGCTTGCTTCTGAAATAGGAATGTTTATTTTTACCCGGATATAAATAAGGGGTTTTGAATCACAGAGTTATTTTATTACTAAACAATACACACACCTGCCCAGTAAAAAGGTCTTTCTTTGCCAGAGACTTTTCTCTGACTTCAACACACTTGTTCCCCAAGCTAGTATTGTGATTTTATAAATTATTTCCTGTCGTTTAAATTTAATGTAAGTATACTATGCTATAATTAAAAATAGAAATTGCATAAAATTTTATTTAAATTAAAAATATTTTCTGAATATTTTGAGACGAAATACGAATAAAATAAGTATGAATGGGAAACGAATGATACATACCAAAGTCAAAAAGACCGAACCTTCCCCCCATTAACATAAAAAACGACAAATGTCGTGTGCCGGATGAAAAGAAACTAAATAACGTACATATACTGATGAAATTTATATCCAATCAGTGTACATTTTGTAGCACAAGGAAGAAACATCATAGAAGAAGATACATGTGCGAAACATGCAATGTGGGTCTATGCATGTACGAAAAAGACAAAACATGCTTTGAACAGTGTCACAAAAAATAGTTGTTCTTTGAAAAAAAATTAAAAAAAAAAAAAAAAAAAAAACACAGAGTCTTTTTTTTTATCCTTATTTTACTGAGTTTTTTAATCCATATAGCCAAATGTCCTTATTATGTAGGTACTTATACTTTCACTGCTATAGAAAAATTACATAAATGTTTATTTTTTAATTTTTTCTGACGATTTAGTTTGTAAAATAATGTAAAATATATATATTATGCAATTCTTACATGCATTTTTTAAAAAAAATTAGTAAACTTCGTCATTTATTGGAAACATGCATGGAAAAAGGTAAGTTCCCCCCCCCCATTACCTAGGTAAGTTGGTAAGTTTACGCAATTTCTATTTTTAATTATAGCAAAGTATACTTACATTAAATTTAAACCACAGGAAATAATTTATAAAATCACAATACTAGCTTGGGGAGCAAAGGTGTTGAAGTCAGAGAGAAGTCTCTGGCAAAGAAAGACCTTTTTACTGGGCAGGTGTGTGTATTGTTTAGTAATAAAATAACTCTGGATTTCAAAACCCCTTTATTTATATCCGGGTAAAAATAAACATTCCTATTTCAGAAGCAAGCAAATGCCATTGTGAAGAGCAGTGGTTTCAAGGTGCGACCACCAAGTCTCTACACAATGCTCTAGTGGGGCAATGGTCGCACCCTGAAACCACAAAGCAAATGCCATACATATAGAGGGTATTTTTATATATGTAGTTTAATTATTGCTATTTTTTATTTAAGTCCTAGATGCGCGATGGTTTCACAGTGCGACCACCACCCACAAAACAATGGGCAAGAGTAGATTTTTTTTAAATTCATATATTATTTGTCTCTAGGATCATAATATTCAATTTCTAGAGTTTTTAGTTAAAAAAATTATAAAAATAATATTGCGCGCATCAAAGGGTTAATACCAGGCATTTGTCTATTAAAAGCCATCCATGAAGGCATTCATCCCCTTAGGCAGATAGCCCTTGTGTGCTTTGCCATATTTAAACAACTACCATTCATTTTCTTTCTTTCACACACATCACAATGATTTTAATTTTAAAGCTGTCAATATAAAGTTTTTAGAAAATAATGCATACCAAATAATGTGTAACTAAATAATGATTTTGCATTAGTGATGAACACATATAAAGACATATTATTTGATTAAATTGTAACAAATATAAGTATGAAAGAAATGTCATATGTAAAGTAAAATTAACTAATTAAACTCTAATAAACTTCAAAGGACCAGAAGTTTGGTGGTGGCTCACTATTTTATTGCATCAAGCTAAACACAAAAAATAATATACTATTTTACTTCAAATGGATCTGGCAATTATTTAACTACTTAAACACTAATAAAGTATTTGATAAAAATATATGCTCTTACTAATATAACTCAAATGGTAAACACTTTGTCATGTGACTCAAAATAAATTCCACCATTAGATCTAACAATGGACAAGCCAGAGGACGATAAGGACTGTTTCGACCAGATGCAACTTTTCTGTGTCTCATTGGCTATAATAGCAATGCAAAAAACACTCTATAATAACAACACAAACCCACAATGTTTTTATTGCACATTACAGCACACAAATTATAAAAGACATCAGAAATGAATGAGAATGTTCACAATAAAGATTACTTAAAAGTTGACCATAAAACATTGTATTAAGTAATGTGTTAAGCATTATATTAAGTAATTCAATGAAAAGAATTTTAGTATTTTTAAAGTACTTAGATATCTTAGAATTAATAAAAACCCTTCAATACACTGCAGTTTTTTTTTAAGGTTAATTGCAATGCTTCCACCCATATCAGCTTTAAAAATAATCTTCCAAATTTTTCTTTCAAAAAAATTTTAAGATTTTAAAATTATTTGATATTTAAAATGTTAAAATCTCTATCTTAAGTTTTTTTAATTACACAATTAGCCATTGTTTTTATGAGTATGCCCGTCTAGTAATCCTTCCCTATTAGGAGATCATCAACACACATTTTAAATTCAGTTGCAGACTCTTAAACGATAGGTAATTTACCATCATGAGATATCAAAGGGCAGTCAGGCTAAAGAAAAGTGCTTTCTGATATATAATTTTTATGAGAAACTTGGGAGACCCAATCCAATGCTTGCATCATGAAGCAGTTCAAACATCGGAAACTGTAACATGACAGATCTCTGCAATAGCAGTGCGGTATTTAACTGCCAATGTAGCTGATCCAGGATTGAATCCCAAGGTCATTTAATGCTATCAAAGACATCTGGGACTAGTATACTGCACTTCCTCCCAAAACTAATAGAGGGTCACACGAGCAAGCAACAGCAGACCAAGAAGCACAAGCAAGCCTTACACCTTAGGACTGCCAACAATAACTGCCATGTGGTAGATCCATAACTGAATTCCAAGGTCATTTAACATCAATAAGGGCATTGGGAACTCATATGCTGCACTTCCCAACAGTGCTAATATGGTGACATGAGCAGGCAACAACAGACCATGAAGCACAAACGAGCCTCTCACCTCGGTACTGCCCCAACACAATGGGGAAAACACAAAATTGCTCAGGTAGCTAACCTATTTTTTCGCAATACTCAAATCTGAAGTAAAACCATAAATATGATTTAACTTATCCATTTGAACACAAGTGGCTGCAGTATCTAAAAGGGCTGAAAAATGAAGATATTTTATTGATACCTTTCTTATTTAAATTAACCATACTGCATATAACAGCATACATACAGTACAGAACATAAACAAGGAGTATAAATTGTTGTTATCATTATACATACAGTATTCATCAAATACAATGTAGATATATAGCACAAGACTGTTCCTAAAGATTTTAACATCTTAGAACTCAAAAGATGAGTACCCTAAATATTTTTATCATTTTTACACTGATGTTTAATGATAAGTTCCCTTCTTTTTCATACCTTGACAGCCATTCTCAAGAAAGCTCTGAACTGAACAGACAACAATGCATATCATTATTCACAGTGAATATAACCCAGCAATTCATCAACATAAAATCATGCAAGTTCTGAAGTATAAAAATTAGGTACTTACGTATTATCGCAACCAGGTTGACGCTATTCGTAAGTTTTGACGCTATTTGTAAGTTTGAGTAAAAAAGTATGAATAGAAAGAAAATGTACATTTATTAATTACAGATAATTTTTTATACAGTTTTTATATTACTTGCTTTTAAAATATAAAATAGCAATTAAACCCTTCCGGTTTCGAATTTGAATAAGTTGCAGAATTATTTTTTCGGCGGAAATCTTTTGACTATTGCTTTTAGCACTGATTAAAAACCGCATTCGCCATAACCATGTACAACACGTCGACTTATTTTACTTAAAAAAATCCCAGAATTCACAAAAATGGCATTGCACCATTTTCACTTATCCTGTACACTATTTTCTCATAAATTACAAAAATTTGCACGAAAATGCAGGAAAATTTTGTGAATCTTCATATGCTCTTTTTACAAAACACGTAGGGTTGCCGTAAGTAGGGTTGCCAAATTTCGCAATTTATGCGAATCTTGACCTGGTTGCGATAATACGTAAGTACCAAAAATTATTATACCTATCTTATACCTGTCCTAGGTAAAGATTAACAATCTTATTTGAAAAAGGTTTTACAGGATCAACTGACATCTGAAAATAAACATGTTTCGGTCATTATAAGGACCTTTTTTGCATGTTTTTTTCTCAAACAACAAAACCTTCTACTCAACAGATACCTGCACACATCATCCATTCCACTTAACACAAGTTCTAGTTCCTAGATTTCCCATGTTTTATCATCTTAATACTTTTTTTGAATGCTACTTTTAAAAATACTTTCTCTTATACTGTACAATATACCTAGCATCATAAAAATTGTACATATTTATTCATATCCCAAAGCTGCTACATTTAGTATCAAGACTGGAAACTGATTCTACATTTCACATGTATAAAAAAAAAATATTTCAGAAAACAGTTTACCATGGTGCCATACTTTTGTGAGTTTACTGATGTTATCAAGCAATGCACAAATCTGGCATGTAAGCATATTACTTTTATTTTATAGATCACATAACTGCTTTAATTTTAGATATTAAACAAAGTAGAAATTATGCATAGCTTAATTAAAAATTAATGAAAAAACAAGAATGTCACATGAACAAAGAAACTTACCATTCTGTGCAAATGAACTTTGTAGACTAAATTAACATCATGAATTATGGAATTTGCATACTGATCCTAAAATATTAAGAGAAATTTTTTAAAAAAATTAATGTTTAGAACACAGACACTTTTTATTTAAATTTTGCATTTACTGAGAAAATTAATTAAACCATATGATGATCAGTTTATTAAAATGTTAAATATTTTATGATAGTAATAATTATACAAACCCTACAGTGTTTCTGTTCATAATATTTTTTCTATTAGATATTCCTATCTGTTAAAACTGCAACACCATGAAGGTAACATCAGAGCTGAATGAAATTAATTCCATATACAATCCATTGTAATAAATTTGGTCAAGCTGACACATGTTGCATTACAAAGATGTACTTACCATAGAACTGAATCAAACATATTTTGAAATACTTCAAGAATAGGATTCCATACTCTTTCCATGTCAGCATAAACCTCATGCATACTGATTACGGGACAAGTGTCATAGCTGAACTCATGCTCCATAAAATCTCAAATGTGTTCAATAACTGACATGTCTGGCAAATGGACAGGACAAGGAGAAGTAGTATCTGGCAAGCTAAGAAGAACTGAAAATTTTTAACAATATATGGGTAGGCACTGCCTTCCTGAAATAAACCACCAAAAATGTGTTGAAAAAGGCTAAAATTTCAGGCTCCATAATTTTAATATAGTAGTTTAAGGTGAGAGCATCTTCAGTTCTTATCGAATAAGATAGATCATTATACCCACTGATACCCCCCGACCATCCCATTTGACAACTGTTCAATATGATGCTGAGTGCACTCTGCAAGATGGCATTCATTCTCTTGACCATCATTATATTCCAAATTGATGTGCGATTCCTCAGAAAAGGAAATTTGCTGCTAATCAACAAGCTACTTGCTGTGTTGATGAGCCCTCCATAGCCAAAGGCATTGATGATTTTACATCAAAGCCCTCCTCCATGAAGGGATGTATACACACAATCAACAGCACAGCAAATGCCAACAACTGGTTGAAGCTGACAAAGGCATACTTGTAGTGGCGCTCCAGTGTTGTGCCAGCTGTCATGATATAGCAACATGGTTTATCACTGTCATGAGGAAGAAGTGTCTGTCATTCTGTGTTGCAGTAACACTTGTAGAGACATTAGGTATTTTTTGGAAGCAGGTAAAATGAAAAATTTGCGCCTTCGCCAAGAATTGAACCACGGACTTCGAGAACATGTGCCCAGCGTGCAGACCACCACACCACAAAGGCAGGAGAAATATCTTATATACTCCCCGTTTTAAAGGGCAATTGGGGTTTTTAGGGGACCCAATTGCCAAATGCTGGGTGTGAAGAATCATCATCCAACACCCTTTTAGTTTGCACACCACTATAGAGATATTAGGTAATTTTTGGAAGCAGGAAAGATGAAAAATTTGCAATGCGTTCGCTGGGAATCGAACACGGACCTCTCGAATACGCGACCATTGTGCAGACCACCACACCATGAAGGTATACCCAAGAAGCCAGCAGAAATACCTTATACACTTCATGATTCACTGCCAGCTTTGTGATTTTTCCAATTATCTTAAGCCCACTACTTCCAAGGTGGATTACAGATGAAGTATTATGCCCCATAAAAGCTGTGATTTCACATTAAAAAAATTCTTGGTCTCATAAATTAATCATTGTTTCCATTCAAACACTATAGCTTGGGTTCTATTCCTGCCGTCAGGTGGGAGACCATTCCACTTCTATGATTCATTTTTCTCTGGAATCTGGTGTCAGGAAGAAGGGAGAAAATGTTCTAAGGCATCATTATTGTGATGGCCCCTTTCATTGCTGAGCAGCAATTATTTTTTGACAATTTTGCTATTTTTTCCTGAAATGTTTCAAGTTTTTTTCTGGTAAATATTGTATTAATAAAGTGCTTGTACCAGTAAGGACTGTAACATGACTGATGATTCAGAACAATGCCAGTAAAAATGAGACCTGTCAAATTTATGAGAAGAAATGTTAATAAATTACTAATGTTTTTTGATTGATTGCATAAATGAATGAAATATATTCTATATTTATGAAGATGTTTATTTAAACAATGTTACACTTTAAGCAGATATGTTTTATACTGATGAAATGTTTTATAATATTGAATAGAATATATTCTGTATTTATGAAGATCTTTATTAAAACAAAGTTGAATTTTGAGTACATATATTTTATACTGATGAAATGTTTTACAATATTAAATAGAATTATTTTCTACAAGTTAAGATTTTTTTCTAAATAATCTGAAGTTAGGGAAGAATGATATTTATCTTATCTGAATTTATGGCATTGTGTTTTCATTTAGTATACTTCCGATTTATGAATATTTGTTTAGGGAAATAAGTCTGGATCAGCTAATTAAATTGTGAGGCTCTTGCCAAGGTACTTTTACAAAATTTGCAGAAAAGGTGCGGGTATTTTTTAAATTAGAAGCCACTGACATTGATTCGGGTGCCGGATTTTTGGAATTTGAGGAAATTCTTAGTATGTTACAGACCGATGATAATTGTTCTAAAAATATGCTGGATGATGAAATCTAAAGTACGGACAAGTACAGCAGTACATTTATTGATTTTAACCCTCTGAGCGTTACGGGTTTAGCCTTGAAATTTCAAACTTCCTCAAAATGTCATGAATAAGTGATATTTTCTTGATTTTAATTAAAAAATGACTCATTCATTTTGTACCTTGATTCCTTTCTTCCAATACATCCAAATGAAATCAGATACATAAAAGCTAGCAGAAATTTTCATGTATAATGAATGTGGAAGGCAACCTTCTGTATGGAATTTTCCGGCCTTAACGCTGAGAGTGTTAAAATGGAACTTCAATGACGATTAAATTCATTGAGAGATTCGAATGGAATACAGATTGAAAGGGAAACTAATTCTAAAAGAAATTCTAAAATGCCAAAGATTGAATAACAAAATTTAGATGGGAACTTAAAGCATCGACTTTCATTTTCGGAGGTAGACAAATTTCAGTATCCCCTCCAGTCTACTTAAAAGGGTTCAAGAGTTTCCTGTAACAGCTGACAATTATCAATATGCTGTTGGGTGTTTACACATGTTTTGGCAGAGAAATGTTCTTGTTTATGTCAGGGAATTGCATAAATTGCTTGCAATGAATCTAAAGTATTACTAAGCACAAGGTAAAAAACATTAGCTACCTATAGTGAAACTTAATGACAGATTAGAGACACAATTAAGATCCCTGAAAATACTTGGCATTGCTAGTGACAGGTATGCATCAATGTTGTACTCCTTAGTCAAATCTAGTCTACCAGTTGAGCTTTTATGCATATGGGTAAGGCACATAAATTCTGTTTGTCTTGAATCTGATAATAAAACTTTCAATAAATTAGAAACATTGATGCAATTTTTACACAGTGAAATTTAAGGGGATAAAAGAATTAATCAGTCTCTAAGTGGTTTGGGGTTGAAAAACAAAACAAAGAAATCTTTTGAAAATAAATCTAGATATTTTTCTAATCAAAATAAAGCAGTCACAACGGGTATGGAACTTTTAACCTCATTCCAGGGTAAACAGAGTAGAGAGCATAAATGTGTATTCTGCAATATCGCAAAGTATAGAAAGGTAGCATATTTAGCTTACAAACATAGAAAGCAATGCCTTATAAAACAAGGAGGCTGTTTTGAATGCTTTAAATTAAACTATATTTCTAGTTTGTTCAAAAGTAATTAACTGCACCATTTGTGGAAAATCCCAACATGGCATTCTCTGCAAAAACAATCAGAAATGAACTCCAAATACACAAAGTGTTAGGAGCAACAAAGCTGCTTCTGAGCAAGAGGAGACCTTAGCTAAAGTTTCTTCATTTCCAAGTGTTCTGTGGCAAACCCTCACTGTTGTTTTGGGAGGTGACAGCTAGAGTTAAAAAATCCGTGCTATAATCGACTCTATCTCCCAAAGATTTTATCTACAGGAAAGAACTGCAAAAAAAGTCAAAGAGAAGGGGAAAATTGAAACATTCAGATGTCAGTGACAACTACTGTTGTAATTTTGATGTTCTTTTCTAACTACAATTTGTCAAACTATGCCAATGGTTACACAACACTGTGAAGATGATTTGCCCGATATGGGTTATATTTAAAAGATTGCCTTGGCTCTGTAAAACTTCTTGTAGGTTCAGATGTAGCCAGTAAGCTAATGACAGGGAAATTGAAAAGATATAAATACAGCCTTTCTGCTGTGGAAACAAAATTAGGTTGAAGAGTTTTGAGCCATATGGAGGAATGTTCAGAGCAAACTGAAAACCTTAGTTACTTTGATGTCAGTTCCAGATATACAATTGCACACCTGTGGGAGTCAGATAGTCTTGGAATTAATGATCCTGCTTAAAAGCAATTAGAACTTGAAGAGGCATCCATTAAACATTTTGTAAAGACTCTAAAAAGATATGATGATAGCCGATACATGATCTCATTGTCATGGATAGAAGGACACTAGGTTCTCTCAAATAGCAAAGTTGGTGCTGCATGACTGGAAAGCAGTTTTTTATGGTTTTACTTCCCTTCACCTCAGGCATCAACTACGTAGAGTTTTGATCTGACCGATCAAATTTGCCGCATTAGAACGGCCATTCGCAGTTGTGAAAAAATAAGGGCATGTAATTTTACATGCCGCCGCCTGAAAATTCTACAAAGTGGTTCTTCCCACACTTCCAGCATCTCCCTGCGTTTGTACATAACTGCTGTGTGTGTCCCCATTCTTGGCACCTATAACATTGAATAGGTTGCTTCTTCGGTGCAAACTTTTCAATTCAGACATTGACACTGAACATACAGTTCAGGTTATGTATGGCATATCCTGATTTCTTTTTCTCAAGCTCCAGCAAGAAGATGGGCAGTTTTTCGAAATTATTTTTCTTACTTCTTTGGAACTGCTTTACTTTCAGGATTAGGAACTTCCTCCTCTCTAGGTCCTTGTATATTTCTTCAGTTATATTATCCAGGATGTTTTCCAGTACCAATTTCAGTGGTTTTTCCGCATTCAATTGGAAGGTATGGAAAGATATGTTCCTTTCTTTCAGCAGTTTTGTAGTATTCCTGTAATCATCTACAGTCTTCACAAAGATTGATTTTACCTTTGTATCAACTTGGAATTTCTCCTCGCATGATTATAATAGTTCCTCAACATTCAGCCAATCCATTGTGTTACTCTGAAGTACTATTGGTGTGGGGGGGGTCTCCTGCTGGGCAGCTCCTTCTTTAGACTCCTTCTCATTTATCTTTTAAAGTGACCGGAATCTGTTACTGTTTACAATTTCCATCAGCTCTGGCTTATCAGGAATTTTTACTGTCTTTTTTAGAGATATCCATGGTCCATCATTTCCGGTCAGTTCTGTAGATTTTTCTTTGGTAGGTTTTCCTTCAGTGCGGGGCTTTTTAGCTCCTTTTCCTCCATCAATGTATCCACATGCTTTAAGCGTGGTAACCGCTTCATCAATTCCCATGCCTTTGATAATTCCTTTGATGAAATTGATTTGGCCTTCATCAGTTTCTTTACTCATCAACTGTTCTATCTGCTCTTCTGATTTGGTTCTCTGTGTCCTTTTCTCCTTTCCTTCGGGCTTCTCAAGAACTCTTCTCTTCTTGAAATAACCGGCTGCGATACTGTTGACCTTTCCGAGTCTGCATAGTCACTGTAGTCATCGTTGTTAAAATCAGGTGTCTTAAAGAAAGACATTTTGTTACACTAAGGTAACACCAATCACAAAAATTATGCTATCAATATGTTCAGTACAACTTCGTTGACCACCTACGGTCAAACACTGAACACCTTGATGTGTGTTAATTATGTTAATATGTGGAAAGCAGTGAGCATAACGGTTGTATTTATAGTCCACAGTAATGTGAATTGAGAAGATAGTGCCATCTATCGGTAAAAATATTCACAAAATTCAAACATTAAGTTAATAAATTTTTAAAATCATTAGGAAAGTGTGGATTGGGCTTAAAGTCATTAACTAAACAAGATAAATATTTGCGCAAAGATTTACCAGATAAGTTAAAGATAAACCAAAAGTTGTTAAAATTAATGTAATTAAAATTATTAAAGTTCTTTAAAAGTGCAATAAGTGAAAATTTTTAGAAGCCTTTTTAATTAGTCATCAAGATATAATTAGCTCTGATATGATCGTCCCCCAAAATTTAAAATTACTGCAAAAATAAGCATTATAAAAGAGTTCTTGAGTAAGAAATCAGAATAACCATTGGTTAAACCAAAAGCAATAAGCTAAATAAATATTAATTAAATTTCGAACCAAACATAAAGCATAATTTTTAAAAAAACCTTACAAATCAAAAGTAACTATTGTAAAAAAAAAAAAAAAAAAAAAAAAAAAAAAAAAAATAATAATAATTTCAAGTCAAAAACTTTGTTTTGGAAACTAATTTATTTAGAAGAAATTAACTAAAAGGAAAATAAGTAATAATTTAAAATATTAATTAATACTGAAAAGTTTCCCAATGAAGAGAAAAGAAAAATATAAAAATGGAAGGCTTATAGCTTAGAATCAGGGAAAAGGAATAATAATTAAAAATTAAAAAGGCAATATGCCTAAAACTGAAAAAATAAATAAAACTGAATTGATCAATTCAATTAATTTGAACAGAATTTGAAAAATAAAATAAAACCCGAATAAAGATAAACATCCACAAGAATTGAGTTGAAGCCACCTGTTTACAACTGAAGTTTCATCTAAAGTTTCACTTTATATAATTGACAGCTTACAGTTTTTCACCTGTAAATGACTAGGTGCTAATAACTTCTAAACCTCTCATCTCAAATCACATGACAGAGCAGTTGAAGTCATAATGAAATCATGCACAATCAGCAGAAGACAAATAAAGGTCCTTATTTTATAGATGAGCCCAAATACTGGACACAGAGTACTGCCATGTGCAATCTGACATTTTAAGAAAAATTAACTTGTTATCAGCTCTATAATATACGTCAAAGAGGCTGGCTATTAATTACAAATGCTACATGATTATTTGGGGAAGCATTCTTTTAAGTGAAATAACTCTTTTGGTGCTGACAGTTTGTGAACCTCAGAAGGTATTCTGAATATTCATATATGTCTTTGTGCCAGTCCAATACGCAAAGCATTCATATTAAAAGATAATATTTCCCAGCTACACTGGGCTACTAGTAGGGCAGAATTTAAGAGATACCATCACTTTAACAGCTAAAGCCAAAGGCGGGTAAGATGGACTAGGCAGTACTAAGAACTTATACTTGCTTTCAATGAAAACTAGTTATACTTCCTATACAGCTGTCTCACATCATCATAAGCAATACAAAATAATACTACATAGCCATCAGACGCTGCATTCTAAAATAGTTCTTTTCCCATCATACTGTTGTTTGATGAAAAAGGTTTTTTTATATATTATATATATATATATATATATATATATATATATAAAACATCTTACAGCACACACCATTACCCATATTAAGTGAAACTTATTCATGTAGTTTTTTTACCACTAATTTTTTACGGGTGCTTAATTTATGGAAAGCAAATCAAGAATAATGAAAATCAACATCTATTGATTTCAGTTACATTTTTAAGATAGTGCTAATACTACAGTAATAGTGCTAATTTTCTATACACATATTTTTGACGTTACTATATTTATATTCTCAATATAAAACAATACTATAAATTATAAAATACATTTTATATACACAAACATACAAGCAATAGCAAATGATTCAATATTACACAGTTAAACAATAAAAAATTTTAATGGACTTATTATTTAAAACTCAACAAATATATTAGGCATATATATCTTTTAAATGAACAAAAATATTTTACAATACACTCACCTCTGTTATGCAAGTTAAAATAATAAAGCACAGTTTGCATGTGTTCATATTAGATTCATCTAAGAAGAAACTGAAGTTAGTATGCAAAATCCTAAATCATGACATACAGCAATTTATATTAAAACTTGATTAATTTAACACTTCCTTTTTATTTACAGAAAATAAGGTTTTCATGACACTATTAATTTATTTCATGTTAGTTCATTTTAACCATGCAACCTTAAAGATACAATCTTCCTACAGCAAAAGACAATTTTTACATTCTGCAAATTTAATAAACAATTTAAGCAATATTACTGAATAATTTATTTAAATTGGAAAAACATAAGGCAAAGATCAATTTGTAGAAATGCATTTATAATTTTTTAGGAAGAATTTCTTCATTCTTATTAGAGAATGAAGCAAGGCATAGAAAGTTACAGCTTAGAAAGTTACAGAATAAAATATAAATTGCAACAATTAATAAAATTCATAAAATTGCAACCATATAATAATTGCCTTGAATGATACAAATGGTTAGAAAGGCAGAGTGCCAGAACAAACTTTAGGGTACAACTTTGATTTCCGTGTAAGTTGTGGTTGTGTGTGTCTTTCCCTCTTTTTGCAGGTGTAATATTAATCTACCCTGCATTGCAGCCTGGGCAAAACTCTCAATGAAACTGGCTAAATGATCAAAGGGTTTGGCCAATCCCGAAAAATGCTTGAGAAACAAATGCTCTGCCATATGAAACAAAAACTACACAATCACAGATATTTGCCATTTTTGATATGAAAAAATTAAACATATACAGTACAAAGTTTGAAGGACCTTCAGACTCTAAGTAATTCTTTTCCTTCACAAACACCACGAGTGGAGTATGTAATACTTAAGACATGCAGGGATACTGTAAAATGAAATTTTCTCCAGACTAACAAAGATTCTTGCATGTCACTGGCAAACGCCTGCTTGCTAAGCAAATCACACCATAGCCAATGAAAATACATTGACTGATGTTGACCATGACCACAACTTTTGGCTTTTGAGTGATCGTGGGGAGTTAGCATTTTTCTGCCTCACCAAAATTGTAACACATATTCATTTGGAGTGGGAATGTTGCGTTCTCCCCTTTTTTTTGGCAAAGCAGCAAGGAAGAGAGGGAAAAAATTCTGAAGATCTGATGGTCAGTTTTAATGCAGCAAACTGTGCTCTTCCTTTCATTTCTGATTTGATCTAGCTTGTTATTTTTGGCACTTATCAAAACCAAAGTCTGAATTTTCAAATATGTTGAAATGAGTTTCTAATTTCAGCAAGATCTACAAATAGAATGTTTCAGTGTCAGCTTAGCAGAAAGAAAAGGATGGGGAAAAAAAAAAGACAAAGGAATATTTGTTTCAAAATTATGCAAGAAGTATGGCACTGGAAATTCAACTGCATATAATGTAAAAATCATAAAAAGGAACTTTTTGTGGAGCCTGTCACCCCCCTTATAACGAACAGCTGAAAAATCATTCACTGAGATAAAAGTTACAATCCTGACATGATTGAATGGATGAGAAAGCATTGCAGCGAAGATGTGAATGGGTGAGGCAGCAACGCAGTGAGGGTGTGCTACTGTGGCTGGGCTATCTAAGTCTCAAATCAAAATATTTAATAAGGAAGTAAGGCTTAAAAACTTAGTATACATATTCGACAGGTTGGTTAACCTAATCTTAAAATTGCCATGGTATAAGACAGTTAAAAATTTCAGGCTTAAAAATCTTCAGCTCATACTGAAATAACTGAATAATATATAGATTAAATTTCAAACTCACTAACAATGAAAAGTTACCTCCACAGCAAATTTTGTTATTGAAAAATACGCGATCTCCAGAAATTTAAAAGAGTAAATACTTTTTTCGTCAGATACCATTCAAGTAAGGAACGTGTATGACACAAGCATTAATCACTGACTAGCATGAAAATCGTTTCATACTCAGTAACATATGAAATCATATGGTTTATTGAATGAAGCAAAAATTGTCATGAGAAGAGACAATTGTTTGGCTTATTCATCACTTAAATACAACGCTTTTGTGTCATTCTTTGCTCCCTGTATATTAATCATTCAGCCAATGGATGGCAGAATGCTGCGCACACTTAAATGCATGCAACACTTCTTGTCCAATTAATAAGGATATAACTATATTTAAATAAATGCTTGACATAATTTATAGCCAGCTACTATATTTCATGATTATAATGATGATAGCTACAAAATTTGAGATATCATCAGCAAAAGAATAAATTTTCAAGGATAAAATTTCATTTTCCCATCAACCATCAAAGCTGGTGGAAATCCCACCAAAACAGCACCACTGACTCCGGTGGAAGCTTGTTGTATATTTAGTTAAATAAAAGATATTGCATTAGGTTTAGTAAAATACTAGATATCAGATGTCAATATGCCATATAAAAAAAGAAAACTACCAGCTCAGTTTCTGAGGTTATGCAAGAAAGGAATTCATTTAAATTAGCACTGAATATTCAAACAGCAAAATATCCTTAATGGAATATAAAATAATAACAAAACTGCCATCTTTATAAACTGTGTAGAGATACTAGGATTTTATGGAAGCAGGCAAAATGAAAAACTAGCAACGCCTTCACCGGGAATCAAACCACGGACCTCCGGAATACCGGCCTAGCATGCAGACCACCACACCACGAAGGCACGCCAAGAAGGTGGCAGAAATACCTTATATACTCCCCTTTTAAAGGGCAACTGGGGTTTTCAGGGGACCCAATCACCAAATCCTGGGTGTGGAAAATCATCATCCACCACCCTTTTAGTTCAGGCACCACTGTAGAGACATTAGGTTAATTGGAAAAGCAGGAGAGATGAAAAATGAGCAAACGCCTTCGCCAGGAATCAAACCACAGACCTCTGAAATACCGGCCCAGTGTGCAAACCACTACACCACGAAAGCTTGCTAAGGTGGTGGGAAAATACCTTATATACTCCCCCTCTTTTAAAGGGCAATTGGAGTTTTTAGGGGACCTAATCGCCTAATCATGTGTGGGGAGAAATCATCATCCACCACCCTTTCAGTTTGGCCGCCACTGTAGAGACATTAGGTTTTTTTTTTTTTTTTTGGAAGCAGGCAAGATGAAAAATGTGCAATGCCTTCACTGGGAATCAAACCATGGACCTCTGGAATACCTGCCCAGCGTGCAGACCACCACACCATGAAGGCATGCCAAGAAGGTGGGAGAAATACCTTATGACTCAACAGTGCATCCTTTCATTTAAATATGCATCTAAGCAGTGTTGTGCTGTTCAGCAATGTCTTTTATTGATCTATTTTGTCAAATTCTGCAGTCTTCTATAGTTCTGTGTATATGCATCAGTATAACCAGTCCTGCAACTTTGAAACTTCTTGCTGCTCTGCAGAATGCAAGTCCCAGATCAATCCTTTTATCAAAATGCAATTGAAAAACAGACAAAAAGCAGTTAATGTATAACTTCCATACAAAATCTAGCCTGGTAAATGAAAGTGAAGTTTTTATCAAGGCCTCTAATAGGTAAGAATAGATGCATTCTGCCAATTTTAAGCTAAGCACAACTCCTTAGATGTCTTGGTATTGCACAATCTTTGTTGTGAACTTTTTTACTGACCACATTTATTGCTTACGTTATTGTTACATAAGTCATACTAATTTAGGACAAAAATGATTTTAAATTTTTTGGAGAATATAGCTTGAAGTTTTAATAAAATTAAATTTGCATGTATTTTGAAAAAAAATCAAACTACTGCCATACTTACTTTAATATCTAAGCCCCCCCCCACCTACTGACTTGCACTGCACTGTACATACCACAGTTAAGAAATTCAATGATGCATATTATGCAGCTTATAAAAAACACAAAAAATAGCACATTCTCCCACTTATGACCTTAAAAATTACAGCAAGTGCCTACAGTTCTCTTAGAGAGGCACCAGTTCTTATCAGTGTGCTGTGATGTCATGCTTATCTATTACTGGCAATAAATTGCACTGTTTGGCAATACTTGGAGGAAATAGTTGGCGGCAAAAATGAAATTTGTTAATAGGAAGATGCAATAATAAATGAAGATGATATAGTAAAAATCTTCCATTGTAGTGATAATGCCTCAGTCATAAAAAACCAACTAACCGAAGAAAAAATCTGTATTATGGTTTTATCCAGAAAATATTGCTACTGATAGTTAAGAGAAAGATAAAGAGATGCTGAGAATGGCAACATTTTGACTGACAGTTCTTTATATGGCACTCTCAGAACTCAAATACTAGAACACTGAATAAAAAATTATTTTTATTGAAATATCAGTACAAATAAGAAACAACTTGTATTGAAAGAAATATTAGATAACTGTTAAAACAAGAAAACTGTTGAGCTGTTTTTATATATTCTGACTCCATGGCTATAAATGGTTCAATATTTCACAAACTATATGATATTTTTAATTTTATAATTTCAAATACCATCTCAGATTTGAATTGATCTAGAAACTTCTGGAATCTAGAATTGCCAAAGTCCCAATGATTTGGACTTTGTATGGAATTAATATTTGTCTACACCATTGGGAATAAAAATATTCTCTTTATAGCTTCAATCAGTTAAATTTGTTATTAAATCTGATTAGTTAAATAAGCATACATTTTAAACAGTATGGTTTTTTGCATATTATAGGCATGGTCTTGTTACATATGCTAAGGTTGCTATGCATGTAGAGTCATACACTGAATTTCAAGAAAATTAGAAAGAAAATTTGCTAAAATGTTAATGTAATGTTCCTAAAACTTTTCTATGGCACATTATAGTAAATATACTTTCTATTTGTGCCATGCTATTTCATATTCTTTATTATAATGTACATACTTTTGTTCTTGCAATAACACAATGTGCAAACAGTTTGAAAATTCTTAATCTGTAGAATCAGCAATCAGTGGAGATTCATATCAAAATTTAACTATCAAAATCGCAGGCCAGCAAAAATTTTGGAGGTAACTACCTCTCTCTCACCACAGAAATCACAATTCACAACAATGAAGAACTAATTCCAGGCTTCATCTATCTTTCAAAGTTTTGCACATAAATTTACTGAAACATTTCTCAACATGCATGAAATTTTATACAAAACAGAATAAAGTGATGAAACATTTACAAACCTCGGGTATTAAGCATAATAATAGACGAAAATTCAAGAAAAGTAACAAGCAGATTGGAAGGTGGAAGGTCACTCTCTACCTGCAGTGCAGCTGCAAAATATAAATGTTAATCACAGCAGCCTTCACAGACAACAAACTACATAAAAAACTGGACATCATTAAAAAATACACATACACTTTTAGATATTTAGATTTCAAAACATAGCAAATGAAAATATAGTTAATTCTTTTTTGTCTTTATTTTGAATCATAGATTAACATATAAAATAAATCCCGATTTACTTTCATTAGTCTTTAGTAAATGCTCTTAAGGGATATGGGGAATAAAATTAATAATCAATAAACACTTTATGATAATTTTTATACTATTACAATCTGTTTTAATAAATGTAATGTACTAATGCATTCTATTGAAACTGCCTTAGTAAAACTAATCAAAAAATAGTAAAATATTTTGGCTTTGACTGCGATTTTCTGTTCTTGAATCAAAATATTCAATATAATATTCATCTCACAGACTTCCAAAGAGGTTATATATAAACCATATTCAGAGAGAATAGCAGGACCAGAAGGGATAGGTGATGTCAACCAGTGCTTTAGATCAGCAGTTTTGGCTGCATCATTAAAATCCGTGATGATTCTTTGGTTAAAAGAAATTTGAAAAACACTACAAATTTACACTTATGCTAAACTAACCTTTTACTGCTACAGGTGCCAAACAAAAGTAAAAATGAAATAAAGTAATAACCTCTTACTGTGGGGAAGTGAAAGTAATGCAATCTAGATCCAAAATAATTATTAGTTACATAACTTTAAAACAAAGTAAATTAATTTAAAATTTAAATTCAGACTCATTAAATCTACAACCTGAAAATCATGAGGAATAAATCTTCTCTGGTGCCTTGGTATGAAATTAAAAATAAAGAACCTATCTTCCCTCGATTTACACCTGTAGATTTTATTCCAGATGCAAACGAGCACATACAAGGTTGAAAACATTTCAATCGACAAATTATAGGTTGTTAGAAATCTATTTTATTTTGATGCTGATGGTATAAAACAAACTGTTATAAAAAATAGTTAAAAAGTTCAGGTAAATGACTTTTTAAATGATAAACATGCACTACCACTAAGCATGAATTTCGTTAGTCGGCAACAGCTACAATTTGCCATAGCCAGGATTTTATTGTGAAATGAAAAATATTAGTACTTAAGGTTTCCCTTCAATATATGCAGACCAAAAGGCATATAAAAAAGGAAATAATTGCAATTAAAAACAAAAATTACTTGGATAGAGATAGTAAATGGCTGATGATACTAAATATTACACTGAATACTGTGAAACAAAAGTTACTTGGAGAAAGCAGAGAAAATGTCACCACAATGCTTAATTTTTTAATAAAAATAAAGGCACTTGTCATGGTTAAACAGTGATTCACGACATTAAAAAATAGGCTTACAGAGTAATACCTCCTTTTCTGTTCAAAAGCATAATGTACACTGCTCAAAAAAAAAAAAAATGGGACAGTGCTATATCTCCCGTTCTACTGGGGCGATTCACGAAATTCAAATTGCGTTCTTCATGTCTCGAAAGCGCGACTTAGGATATATATTAGATTTATATATAGCACTATTCTAACGTAGGTATTTTGACACAAAATCGGACTTTTTCTGAAATAACATACCAATTTTTTTACATATTTCGATTCTACGACTCAAATTATGCCAGAATACCAAGATTTGTAAAAATCGTACGAGTAGTTTTTGAAATATTAGCTCTCAAAATTTTAGCTCCTCAATGTTAATTGAATTTGGCAAATATTTATTTATATCTCTTTTTTTATTAAACTTTTTTGATTTTTTCTCTCACATTTCGAAATTTACGTTCATTCCAAATAAAATTTACCCATTTTTTGTGTTTTATTTTTTAAATTTATATTTTTAAATAATTTTTATAAATTTTTCGAAAAAAATTTTGAATTATAACCTATAAAATTTTTACCATCATCTTAAAGTAGGTATATTTTTAAGCATATCTGCAAAAAATTAGACTTTTTTATTCAAAGTTTTCTAAGATATACACAAATTTACATATTTTCGCGTTTTGAAATTTGGCATCTTATTTTTGAGCGATAATAACGCCAAATGTGGTCTACGGATTTTTGTTACACTGTATTGCCACAGCTATTTTTAACCTTAAATTTCAAGTAAAATTTTACGGAGAATTAATTATATGACATTTTTTCCCCCTCAATGATGCGTAATAAATATTTATTAATACTATATGAAAAGCTTATTTTTATAAATAAATTTTTAATATTTTTTAAAATTTCTATCTTTTTTTTCTTTTTTTTTTTTTCTTTTCTTTTTTTTTTTTTAATAAGAGTAAATTCTTGTAAGAGTAAATTTTTACCTTCGGCGTTTTATCGTCTGCTACTTTACTTCATTTAAATCGAATTGTCTAAAACTGAGAATTTTCGTTTGATGTTTATTTGAATTTTATGACATTAACTGCACAATTTATTTCTAAACAAACTGATGCTTTTGAAGTGGCTGAAAGAGCGGCTGGTACTATCATCCATATTTTTAAAGCACAGTATATTTTTATAGAAACATAAGATTTAGAATAATCATTTTTATAAAAGTCAAATAATGATATAAATATACAACCCTCTAGAGACTGAATTAATGGAAGTTCAATGGTTATGTAGAAATGATCTGCAGCTGGATAAGTCAGCAGATTCTGTGGACAAGTAAGAATAATTATATAAACGACACCCAACATTCTGGAATTCAATTAACAACGAGGATACGATGTTTATTAAATGAATTTCAAGAAGTTTTAAAACATAAAAAATCAACTCATTTTTTATCCTAAAATGTATATTTTTGTGCGTAGCGTATTTTCATTATTCTAATTTAAAATTCTAATAATTCTTAAAATTCTAATTTAGAATGTAATTGTCAAGAACTGATTCCTAATCATCAGTAATATAATAAGTTATTATTACGGTTATTAATAAATCCTTCTTATAAAGTAATTGCAAATATTTCAAAAAAACGTTCTGTCTGAATGCAAATATTTTTCTGTGCAAAAATATTTTAATTTTATATTAATAAAGATTGCACACAATATTATATATTTGCACTTCAATTCTTAACGTCAGTTCTAGTAGAAGTTACAAATCAATTATATTTAATTAAGGATTGGATTGGATTGAAATGTATTATTTAATTATGGTAAAGCACACGAGGGCTATCTGCCTAAAGGGAGGACTTTCTAAGGGAAACTGGCTCGTATACACGTTACACATTGGGAAAACCACGAAAACATCCATGCAACCAGCCTGTTCGCGGGATTCGAACCTCGGACCGAACTACCAGTGATCAGCGTCTTTACCGCTCGGCCGTTTGTGGGCCTTTATGAAATGGAAGGCGATAATTTTATTTAAAATGATTGTCAGAAATACCAAAATGTTTCGAAAAGTTGGATACTTTTTAATATACTTTCAGAATGCTTAAAGAAAAAGAGAAGAAAAATAAATTTTTTCGTAAAATTTAGTATTTGTATTTTTTTAATTTAAAACTTTTCAATGTTATGATATTTGATTCTTGCGATTTCAAAAATAAAATATTTGACTAAAATATGAATAACATTTTAAGAAAGAAACCAAATGTAGGATAAAATTGTGTAAAGCAATGGGCACAATGATAAAACTGTTTTAAAGCAGTGTATGCAAGTCCATCCTAAGTTAAAATGTGGTCGGTTATACATCTCTCTTATTTATATATATCTTTTCTGAATGGAACATTGAAAGGCGTGTTAACTGTGCTTTACTGTATTTTCACTTTTAATATATGCAGTTTTCAAACGCATCGTAGTCTGCGTTACAAAGTATTCTTCCGAAAGAAACGCAATTCAAAGAAATAAAATCAAATTCTGGAAAATTTATATTAATAAATATATTTAAAATGCTCAGTTCGAAGGAATAAATAGAAAATTTTTAAATAATCACCTGAAGAGACAATGTAACACTAACAATTAAAATAATAGTCTAAAAAAATGTCGGTTATACATCTCTCTTATTTATATATATCTTTTCTGAACAGAACATTGAAAGGCGTGTAAAACTGTGCTTTACTGTATTTTCTCTTTTACAGAGTACCTGACACAAGCAATTAAAATAAAAGTATAAAAATTTAAAAATTACCTAAAATAATAACTATGACGAAAGATATATATAAGAAAACTATTTGAAAAAAAAAAATAAACGCTGCACCTTTATTTACGCAGTTCGAATAGGTAAATAGAAATTTTTTTTAAAACAGTTATTCGAAAAAAAAAAAAAAAAAAAAACGTGCAACTTAAACAATTAAAATGAAATTCGAAAAAAGAAAAAAAAATTACTTAAAATAATAAGTTATAATTAAAAATATAATATAGAGAATATTATTTGGAAAAAAGGAATGATGGTGACTTTTTTCCCTCTCACCGGAAAGGAAACTAGGTTGCCATATATTAAGAAGTTAGCCAAGTGAAGTATTCTTGGCGCAAACAAAAAAGTGCCAACATAAATTTGTGAATTTCTCCGTAAATTTCGCTCCAAATTTTAAAAAATTTCATATTTAGGCGTAATTTGAGTCATAGAATCGAAATATGTAAAAAAATTGGTATGTTATTTCAGAAAAAGTCCGATTTTGTGTCAAAATACCTATGTTAGAATAGTGCTATATATAAATCTAATATATATCCTAAGTCGCGCTTTCGAGACATGAAGAACGCAATTTGAATTTTGTCAATCGGCCCAGTAGATCAGGAGATATAGGACTGTCCCTTTTTTTTTTTTTTTTTTTTTTTTGAGCAGTGTACATGTTTCCCAAACAATATGTTGCCGAGTTTAATATGATGAATGCATATGGTATGCATTTTGGCTTATAATAAACTATTTTTATTGTAAATGAATAAAAGCATAACATCAATATTACATTTAAGTATTTTTATATCAACAAGCCAGTTAAAAGATGATGTAAATAAATTAGCAGTAAACTTACTTTTAAGCTGCCTCAATAAAGGAAGAAACAATCAGAATAAATAGATTTCCAAATTATTACCACTCACATATACAGTACCAGCCGCATGTTAAACACATTGGTTAATAAATTCAACTACATATTATGTTCATATTCCCAGGAACAAAGCAAATATATACAAATTGCCATTGATTAAACTCATCTCCACTGCTTTTAAAACTCAAACTGGTAAATGATTGATTCTTTTTAAGTCCAGAATTAAATGTTTGTGGCTGATCAAAGCTGTTTGTAGTTCATGCATTTATCATTCAATTATGTAGTGCTTCAATAAAACTGATTTATCAGAAATTTTAACCAGTGCAGTTAGAACCAATTACCCTGTAGATTTTGGTTACTCTTCCCTATTCCCCGTCAGACACTCTTTTTAAATCTATTTGTCAGGACTAAAGCTAAGAGCGACAATGCCTTTATCTTATGATACAAAAGCAGTCCTCTAGAGGCATTGGAAACAAGTTCTTCGATTGTAGATGAGTGAGTACCAGGAATAAAATAAAAGCAATCCTTAAGTGAGCACAACTTTCCTTTCTCAAACACCAGTTAATAGAAAATGCAAGTGCAGATACACAATAAATTTGCAGAAAACATCATGAAATGCTTCCCTGCATTATCATACATTACCCACCAGTGCCGGAGCAGTAAAGTCAATGAACACTGGTTTGGTCTGAGCTTCAAACCTGGAAAATAAGCTGGCTGCATGGGCGTTTTCCTGTTTTTCCCCATGTGTAACCCTTATATGAGCCAGTTTCCTTTAGAAAGTCCTCCATGAAGGCACCCTTCCCTTAGGCAGAAAGCCCTCAAGAGCTTTACCATAATCAATGGAACCAAAATTATTGTACATTATCAACCTATGATTGGAAAAGCGAAGTGGGCATAGTAAGGCGAAGAAATCGACTTGACACACAAAATGCAATCTTTCTTTTGGCTAGAAATGGAAATTTTGGATTTGAATAGACTACTGGAAGAAATATTTATTTTATCTGTTGTGCATATGATTTGTAACATGCTGATAATGCCTTAACGAAACGATTTAAGCCTGAGAGAAAAGGATAAATTGCTGAGTGCAAGTTATATAAACAAAGAAATTGATAAAAGAAATTGAAATTGATAAAGAACTAGTGACAAATGCAAATGACTCAAGGAAGCTCAAAAGGGATGGAAAATCGAGAGATGCTGAAAATGCTCTTCTAGAACGGTTTCAAGTTTTGAGACTAAAAAGTATTTTATTTTTCCAGAGCTGTAGAATTAATTAAAATGCTAGGAGAAAACTTTTTGCCAACTGATGGATGACTCACAAGACGGAAAGGTTTGGTTTGGTTTTGGCGAAATACTCAAAGGCTATCTAGCCAAAGGGGAGGGATGCCTCTGTGGAGGACTTTCTAAGGAGACACTGGTTGGTTACACATGGGAAACCACAAAAATGTCCATACAGACAAGCCCACTTGATGGGATTAGAACCCCAAATCAAAATTCCAATGTTATGTAACTTTACCACTTGATAATAGACATTTCACCCAAGCATCTGAAAGAATACAAACCACACGGAATTTTTAACACGTATGAAACTATTATCTTTTACAAAGCATTATTGGAGCATACATTAATGCCTAAAAGTGAAACAGCAACTGGTTTCAAGAAATTAAAATGACGAATTATTGTGTTTTTAACATGCAATACAAACACAATAATTAAGAAAACATCGTTGGTTATTGGAAAAAGTAGAAAACGTGAATGTTTAAGAAAACTAAAGAATTTACCTTTAACTTATAATAACAAGAATTCATGGGTGACAAGCAGTATTTTGACAGATTTTTTTTAAAAGTGACACAAAACTGAAAAACAAACAAACAAACAAACAAACAAAAAAAAAAAAAAGGCTTAATTGTTAGAAAACTGCGCTGCATACTGTTGTGATAAATGTTAAATTAATGTTTATTCCTACAAATACAACTTCAGTCATTTAGCCTTTAGCCTAAGATGTAAAAGCTTTACATCATCATGAAAAACTTGTACTCAGAAAAAGATTTATAAGCATTAATCTTAGGAAAATGCAAACACTTTGAAGTAGATAACTGAGTTACTATCTTTGCTAGAGACTATGCTTATTATATAGTCAATGCATGGAAAGCAGTATCCCAAATCACAGTCAGAAATTGATATAAAATATGTGGTTTTTATTTAGAAGGGCACAGTAGAATTAGAGCCCATTTCTAATATTTGAGACATTAGAGAGGGAAAATATGAAGATTCACTTTTAGAATACATTGCAATTGATAATATTTAGATAGCATGAGAAAATAGTGACTATGATATAGAATATGTTAAAAGCTGCAAAAACAATAACTGACTGTGAAAGTGACTGCATGCCAAACTCAGTTGAATCCTGAAAAGCACTGCAAACTCTAAGATATCTTGAACTGAAAGGTAGAAAACAGAAAAGCTACCTCAGTTTGAAAAATTTGAAAATACAATTGAAAGACTGTTGATGAACAATGCAAAACAAATATGGATAGAGCACTTCTTTGTAAAAGTTTAAAATTTCATCAATTATGTAATTATAAAAAAAATAAATAAATAAAAGATAATTTTTTTCAAATTTCACAAATAATTTAATTTTAGCATTAATTTTTCATTAATAATTTAGGTATTTAATTATTAGATCAATTGTTAGTTTCTGCCTTACTAAAGCTCAAAAGTGATACCGTAACATCATTTTTGGTGGGCTCCATCCTTTTTGCATTTATTCTGGTAATTTCACCAAGTTCTTCTAGAAGTGCATACACTTTACTGCTTAAGACTTCTGTTTCTGAAATATATGCTTAGTTTGTTTTTGCATGCTTTATATTGAGAATCATAAATGTTTTATTTTCCGGTGCTGAGGTAAGCCAAACGGGCAATGTCTGTTTCCATTTGAACTTTCAAGCGAAGTGCTGCTCTTTGCATCACTGTTCTATCTTTTGGCCTGTTGAAAATTTGGATTTTCAGGTACATCAAACTTTTATACCTTCTGCCAGCTGGATACTGCTTAGAACTCTGTTTTTAAGTGTGGTTAATGTTTTTGTGTTTTAATATGTTTTAGAGAGTTTTGCTCGGATTTTTAAAGAAAAAGGAACATATTTTCCTTGCTTCTACCACTGAGCATTGATATAGATGCTTTAATTTAGGTTTTAATTGTCCCTAAGCCATTGTGATTAAACTCTGAAATTTAAATATGGAGACTTTTACAGAAAAACAACTGCAAACGTTATAAAAGTTACAAGTCCAGGCAAAGGTGAAAAAGAGGATTCCATTATTTTTAAGATTATTAAGGGTACATAGGATATAATTGATGTTTCGAAGGAAAAAAATATTGCCAGAAATCTTATAGACGAGTTGAGTATTGGCACTGACCTTACATCTGACTGGGTAGCAAAAAGAATCTTATGGAACTCGATCTAAGGAAAGAGATGATTTTATAATGAATTTAGGTTTTAACTGTCCCTAAGCCATTGTGATTGAACTCTGAAATTTAAATATGGAGACTTTTACAGAAAAACAACTGCAAACGTTATAAAAGTTACAAGTCCAGGCAAAGGTGAAAAAGAGGATTCCATTATTTTTAAGATTATTAAGGGTACATAGGATATAATTGATGTTTCGAAGGAAAAAAGGATTGCCAGAAATCTTATAGACGAGTTGAGTATTGGCACCGACCTTACAGCTGACTGGGTAGCAAAAAGAATCTTGAAGATTATGGAACTCGAAAGATCTAAGAAAAAAGATAATTTTAAAATGATTATGAAGGAAATTTGAGGAACTAGGAATTTTATTGAGCAAGATATCGATGACCCCAGGGAGGGATTGCAACATCTTGATAAATGGAATAAGGGATTGAAGGTAATGCAGAGTGAGGATCTGAGAAAGGACAGAATTAAGAAAAGAAGCCAATGAAAATTGCATTGAAACCGCATTCTCCAGGAAAAACAGTGATTTAGTTGTCAGATTAAATGATAAAAATGAAGTACGAATTTTGGAATGAGCAGTGTGGCAGGAAGAGAGAAAAAATACTATTAAACCCAAGAAATGCAAATTTATCCAGTCAAAAATTATAATATATATGTTACCAGACTCCGAAATTATTTTCTACCAGACTTCAGTGAGAGAAGTCAAATCTTCCGAGCTACTTAATTTTACATTAGTCAAAGCTAATTTTACATCAGCTTAGTGAACACTTAGATTGGTATACTGAGAATCATCTAGTATCCTTCCTGCCATTTTTAGGCAGAAGAATGCAAAGAATTGTGATATTCCTTTTATATGCTTTTGTGCTTGTATAACGATTAGCACACTGATTTAGTAGTTTTAAGGTCCCAAGTTTGATTCCAACAACAAGGGTACAACTAATTTTTCAAGAATTCCTTTTCCAGTTCTCCTTGTATCGTCACACTTTTGTAGATGAGATTTCCCTTGATTTTACTTATCTGTATAATTCTCTCTTTCTGTTTTGCCTTTTCCCTCCCATCTATATCTTTGTCAATATCGACATTTATTTAATTCCTTCTGAAAGATAAACAACCTATAAATATACTTACCTATATTTTAAACTTTGGGTTTCATGAAAAGCTATCAGTACTTATGCATCACTTACTGTTATGACTATAATTTTTTTTAAAATTAAAATTTGTATTTATCTATTTCCTCCCTGAAATTCTATTTTAGTTTCATTAAGTTATTTACAATTTTTCTGAACAGCAGCTTAAAACCCGGTTCATATTTTCCCTTGGTGAAGATGAATTAAGTTTTGATTTAACTTGCAATATTATATTTCTGCAACTCGCAATTTTTTATCCACTGCAGTTATTTGACAGTTCCATATTTTATCTTCAATTTATATATTTTGAAATTTAATTAACTGAAATATGATCAACAGTTTCCTTATTTAACAAAGACAAATTATTGAAGCTCACACAAACTAATAAATACAAGAACACATACAGTTTTTTATATCCAGTAATTCCATTTGGGATGGTGATGTAAAAGGCCCTGAGCCATCCATTTGACACTGAAAAAGTAAATTACATTTAGCTGTTATGGAACGATACTAAAATATATTACAAAATGTTACTCAGAGTTGCCAAGATTATTCTATGTGCATTATATTTTAAAATTAAATGATATAAAACAGCATGGATAGTCTCCATATCAGTATTTTTATAGGAGGCCTGGCCAACTCATCAATCACAAGCAATAAGTTAATCACAATATACTTAAGAAATGATCATAAGCTATCCATTCTATTATGTTATCATTTTACATTTTCTCCAAGTTACAATGCCTGTAGGGAAAACATACCTCATGAAAAAGGTTGTTGTAGGTGACGATACTTCAGAAACAAAAGTTTGTCTACTGAAGATAATAAGTGTTCTGGAACAAATTCAACTAGTATAAGTCCAGAAAATGCAATGCACAAACTCATTATGAAGGCAGAATAAAAACAATTCATGGTGTCTGCTACATTATGGAGAACATGCTAGCACATTATGTCAAAAGCAACTCAACATGAACACTTCAACAAAAACCATGTCATCAAGTTGCTAAGCAATAAATTAAATTCCTCTTTCACTGCTGCACTGCAGAGAACTTTAGATGATGGTAAAATGATCGAACGTTAATTCCTGAAGTCAAAACTATTCATGACAGGTATATTTATATTGCTAAACTAAGCAGCAACTTCCAGAAGAAAGAAATGCCTTTTCCCATAGCAGTTGTTGCTCAATTTCAGCATCATAACAATAAATATTTTAATATTATTAAGAGTGTGTACCAGGTCTGCAAGAAAGAATTTTTGGTGGATGCAAGAGGAAGGAAAGATAGTGATCATAAAATCTATGTTCCACCTAATGAACACCAGCAATACAAATTTTTATAACAACTTTGAAACACCTAAAAGAGAAGGACAGGCATGAGCAACCCAACACATAACATAATAACAATTAGTTGTAGCATAATGCATCAACTGCAAAAAATCCAAGCAATAGTTTTTAGCTTTCAGAAAAATAATGCCTACTTTTTATTCACTTGAATTTTCAGACTCCCGTGACTTTGTTTTGTTTTCAATGACAAAACTACAACTTGGAAAGTTTTTTAAGTCCTATACGATAACTATAAGTGCAACAGGATTACAGAAACATCAGAATCAAATATATCTACAGAAAGATGCTGCTTTTAAGCATTTCAGGAATTTTAAGCAATCTGTCATCTATAGATATGAATTATTTTTTATGTATTTAGTGGATGCTACTAATTAATACAACCACAGTAGAAATCCTTGAACCAAAAGTAATTCTACATAGTTTCAATTATTTGAATTGCTCCTCTATTCTGAGTTCAAAGATTTAAAAAACAAAAAAAAAAAAAAAAAAAAAAAAAAAAAAAAAAAAATCAGTTCCATGCTTATTGTAACACAATTTATATTGTGTTACAATATAAATTGTGTTACAATACATTTTATTACAATACTTCATTTCAATATAAAACTGATTTACAAATTACTGTTCCATACTCCATACAATGAGGAAATATGAGTATGATAATTGGAACACATATAATAATAACAAAAAAGGTCATTTGACATAAATTATATTCATTTCTTATAAACATCGATAACTAGTAATAACATTTTTCAATATCATGAAATGTAACTGAAGTTAAACATATTCAAATCTAACTTCATAATGAATGGGAAGCAATTTCTTTAACATTATAAAAATACTGATGAATATTTAGCTCAGGGTTCTTAAATAAAGCAAATTCCTTTAAATATACACTCAATAATTATCTAAAAAATATATTCAAAAATATTGAAAACCTTCAAAAAAGTAAATAATTAATATTTGGTTTTAAATTACCTTTATTATTATTGAAACCATAATTACCCATACAGCAACAGGTAAATTTACATCAAAAGAAAGTGCAACAAATCAGATTTTAGAGATATATGATTTAAAAAACAGCAATAAATCATACAGTAAATGAATAAAATTTATTACTATAGATTTATTTTGATATATAACAAATTAACAAATGACTACTTTATTTTATTTTAAGATTATCAAAATACAAAATAAAAGACACACTCAAAAATTGTTATTGAAATATTGCCAGTTGAAGCCAGGTCCTTTCCTAGCTTTGCCTCAAACTGTATATGCAGGTAAGGCCATTAAGGATAAGCATTACATTAAAAAATGCAGGTAGATTATTCACCTAGACCAAAAAAGACATTTTTATTTAAACTATGAATATTAGAGAGCACAATGGTATATGTACTTGTATAGTTCCCCCCCTTTCTTTTACATATTTTGTCTCTTGAAATCTGAAAGAAAATTACATGGCATACATAATTTTTGAAAGGAAGGCTTAAATGAAGAAAAAACATTAAAATGAATAATTGAATAGAAATACTAATATTACTGTATTTCACAGTAGTGAATTATGGTTATTTGTTTCAATAATCCTTTTATTTAGATAGCATAGTTATTCCTTTATCTGTACATACATTTTATACTGCTAACACAAATCAATAATTTCAAAATCATATGCTAAAAATACTGAGGAGAAATAAATGAAGGGAATATGTGAGTAAATATGTTATTTATGTTTATATATACTCAGTTAAAAATAACCACAAAAAAAGCATCTCTTTTGGTACAGAGCTAGACAAATAGATACTGAAAATATATAATCCTCCTGAATAATTAAAATACATAAGTTTGAGATATTTGCACATTGTACATTATTTTATAAAAATTGAAAGTCACATGAAAGAATAATACAATGAAGAGCATATAAAATGAGTTCTTGAATTCTAGAAATGCAAGATGTGAAAAAGTTATAAAATTCAAGATTTTTTTTTTTTTTTGGTGGGTGGAGGGGAAGAACAAAACAGAAAATGTGTTTACGCACTTCAGATGCTAATTAATTTTTATTCTGGACATTTTAACACACAGAATTTGTATCTAGCACATTTGTAGCACATGAAGCACTTTCTTAGCACATCTTGCAAATCAAAGTAGGTTTGAAAGTTTGATTATAAGTTACATTTAAAATGTATACATTTAACTACTTTGTTTTAAATAAGTATATTTCCTCAGAGTTAAATTTAGCTGGAAACTTTTATGTCGGCAGAATTTAAATTTTATTTCCATCAAAACAAGACATAAAAAAAGATAACTGAATTCTGCATGCCTAATTCTGTTAATTTAATGAATGTTATATTTACTTGTTGCAGAAATACCAATTTCCAATATACCACTAATTATTCAGATATTATTTCACAATGATAAAAGATCTCTATAAAATATGTGACCTGAAATAGAAAAACAAAATTTTAAACAAGAAGAAAAGGAAACTTACGTGTGTAAGAGTTATAAGGAAATTTCGGTTCAAGTGGACAGCCTCATATAATGCTAATAACACTGCATTATTTGCCCTATTTAAAATATTAAAGTAAGAACTTCCAGAGTTGCATAGAATAGGAACACAAAAGTTTTAAACAACACAAAACTATAACATAAATTAAGACACAGGAATGTAGTAAAATGTAAATAAAAAGCAGCCTAATGATCATGCATTTATTTTATTGAGATTCAAAGAAACTTAACTCTACCATTCAGAAATACAAAACATTAAGAGTAATACACATTAATATTTATCATCTTACTAATGCCTATTATAATGGATTATAAAAACTTTCACTTCAGAACAAAATAATGGGAAAATTTTATGATATAATACCTAGAATACAGTGCTAAGTTTATTTATTGATCATAAAGAATAACTGTTCAGCTTCTTCCAATACATAAACTTGTGTGCAAAACTTAAGGAACAATGTAAAAATTTAGTAGATAGCCATGAAATTGCAGAAAAGGAGGTCTGGAGATCAGTACAATGAACACATAAGTCAAGTAGAAAATGTCATGCTTATGCAAATATCAGGAACGAAACGTCAGATGCGACAGTGAGCGTACACAAAATGCGTGATGTCTGCGCGCGTGCAGCTCAACAGGACAGAATAAAAGGAAGGACGGAGACACAATTCAACATATTTCGCTGCAAGTGCCAGCTGAGTCCAGTTCATGAAATATGGCTGGAAAAAATCACCTGGACGACTTCACATGTGGAAGAATGATCGGAAAGCTGGAGGAGGAGCATACTGTCACCAGTGTAGCTGCAGAGTTCGGAATCAACAAAAGTGTAATTTCACGAGCTCGGAAAGCGTTCCAAACCACAGGTACAGCTGTTAGAAAGGCTGGTGGTGGTCGCCCGAGGACAACTGCAGGGGATGACCAATATATCATCCTGCAGGCGAAAAGAGGCCGACAGCAGTTAGCAAGCGCCATTGCTCAGCAACTTTGTACAGCAACGGGGCGACAAGTGTCGCAGTTTACTGAGGCCAGATGCCTTCACAAAGGGGGCCTATTCGCCCGCCGTCCTGAACGCTGCCTCCTGTTGAAAGTTGGCCACTGACGCCACCGTTTACAGTGGTGCAGAGAGCACAAAAACTGGACAACTGATCAATGAAGTCGTGTCCTCTTTACGGATGAGAGTCGGTTCAGTACCAGAAGTGATTCTCAACACGTTTTGATTTGGAGAGAGGTCGAGACGCGGTTTTATCCCAGTAACATCAGGGAAAGACACCGTAATGGTGGTCCTGGAGTTCTAGACTGGGGAGGCATTATGTTCAACGGGAGAACTGAGCTCCACGTTTTCGACAGAGGGTCTGTAACCAGGGATCGCTATTGTGAGAAGATACTCCTTCCCCATGTGCTTCTGTTCCGAGGTGCCATTGGCCCAGACTTTATTTTTATGAATGACAATGCACGGCCACATCGACTCTTGCTGTTAAGGAGCTACTGGAAAGTGAAGATATCACTCGAATGTATTGGCCAGCGTACTCCTTAGATTTAAATCCCATCGAACATGTGCGGAATGCTTTGGGAAGACACATTGCAGCTCGCTTACATCCTCCAGAGAACACCCAACAACTCAAACAAATGCTGATTGAGGAATGGGCACTCCTACCGCAAGAAATGTTGCACCAGCTGGTTCTGAGTATGTGGAGATGGTGCGAAGCAACCATTGCAGTGAGGGTAGGGCATATCCCATATTAAGGAACATCTGCTTGTTGTTCTTCCTCTTGGATAGACAATCATGAGTCACGATGCTATGCATTCAATAAAGCTTGCTTTTGTTTGATTCCATACCGTACGCATTATATTCCTTTTTCAGCTCCGATGCTTTCATCATCCTTTACGTACATAATACTCTCCTTCATTTCTGCATTTCATGTCTCTCAGTTGATTTCTCGTGGAGCTAAGGCAAAAAACCCTGCTGTTGCTTAAGTTTTGCACACCAGTGTATAAATACAAATCCCCCCCCCAGCTAGACTGAGGAGTGGCAGTGTTCATTTGTTGCAACGCATATTTCAGTCAAACTTTCATTTGCAGAAATAGGTCCATATTCAGTGCTCATAATGATATACCAAGTTAAGATTATTTTAGACAAAAACATAGATACTTCTAAGCAATTTATTTAAGTACCTAGCCTATGAAAATTATTAAATTTTAGAAGTTTAAAATTAATTTACTCATTATAAGAAAAATTTCATCAGAAAGACAATACCTTGATTAAAAAGGAGAGATCTGCAGTTAGCTAATTTAGTTAGATGCATAAATAATTCTACTTGAAAATATGTAATACAATGATCATGAGGAAAAAATTACTGCCACTAAAGTATACTCGACAGAATATAACAGAACACTCAACTAGGCAAAGCAAGAACCTTGCATTTGGCATAGATTTTAACGAAGATTCTATGAACGTTGGGGGCAAAGGTCCTTCTTCATCAGGAGCAAAGAAATTTTGCAATGAAGGTAGAAGCCACAGAAATATTTATACCAAAAGCAAACTAGAAGGTAGCACCATCTGTCCAAAGAAATCGTAAGATGGAAAATTAAGTTAATATAATGTTAAAAGCATTAGGGAGAACTAAAATGGAATTAAAATCATTAACTAAACAAAATAAATTTTTGTGAATGTGAAAAGCTTCAAGGAAATCCAGTTCAGGTAATATGGCTGTGGCTCCTCTCTACATTGCAGAATTTCTTTGTTCTTGATGATGAAGGATCTCTACCAGTTGGCCATCAAAATTAGTAGACTCTTGCTTAAAAACTACACTAAACACAAGATTACTGCTTTGATTAATTGTATATTTTACTTTGGCATGTTTATCGTCCCTCTAGAACAGAGCAGAATTTTGCTGTAGCTACAAAAAGAATCATGAGATTCTGGAGAATTCTTTTAAGTAGCAGCCATGCCCAAAGATGACGGAATAAGTTCTCTCCCTTTCATCTAGTAAGGGAGATACTTTGTGACTGACCCTTGACATTTCAACTCTGGCAGCCTTTAATGAAGCACCAAACTGTCCTCACTCTATTTATGCAATACCAGCTGGGATTCCTGTCTGTGATTATTTTTTGATTGCATTGAGCGACTTGTATTTGATGTTTATTTTTGTTATCGGTGTATATGTGCTTAACTAATATATTTTATAATTTAATTAAAGTAGTAGAAGTAAAAATAGACATAAGACACATCTCTGCAGTAGACACTGGGCCAGGGAGAAGAGGCACCTAGACCCAGCTTATAAATGAAGCCATACACAGTTAAATGTCCCAACCCAGGAGGCCATTCGAGGAGGCTAACCCCCCCCCAATCAACCACGGGAGAATAGAAATGTGCAAAGTCTGGGTAAATATAATGCTAACTAAGTCACACATTCGTCAACAAGATAACACAAGTGAAGGAGTCTGCCACTGCAGTGCTGGCCAACAGAATGATGACTCTAGAGTTTGAATTTCTCATGTCAAAAGACATAATTAGTCTTTCAAAAAGTCTTCGGGCAGGTTCCCCTGCATATGGTTTGGAAAGCAAATTGTTACTGGTGGCCTCGCGGCGATTATTGCTGCTTAAATGCCATCACAATTCCCGATGGTCATGAGCCTCCCCCCCCCACATTCAAGACTGTTACTCGAATTTTTCTCCAACAAATCCATATTTTCAACCTTTGATTAACCCTGCGCTTATCTTCAGATGCTTGTTAACCCTGATCACAACCCAAAAAACTGCTGTCGCCACAACTTTTAGTCCTTTTGAATTTCTGGCCATGTCATTGAGTTTATGTAACTCAGGCCAGAGTTGCCAATGTTTTATACACAAAGTTTTATTTTGATTGGATTTTTGTATCACATATTTTGATGATATCCTTATTGCATCAGCTAGCAAAAAACATACCAATCTCTGTCAAGTACATAGTCGTTCGAATAAACACAGTCTAACTTTGAATCTTAACAAATGCATACTCAGAAAGCCATCAGCTTTCTTCTTAGCCTACCTTTTCACAGTCTCTGGACTAAAACCCCTGTAAAAGAAAATGAAAAACAAACACTGATTTCCCAAAACCTACTACCATAATCAAGCTTAGATGGTCTTTAGCTATCATAAACTAAGCTGAGAGCCTAGCTTCTTTGCTCTATTCAGACAAAAATGAGAAAGCTGGTGTTCCTTGGAACAACCAACTTAATAAAGCATTTGAAAAATGTAACCATGATCTTATTAGTGCTGCAGCTTTGAGTTATTAGTTAAAAGTTCAGTGTTATGGTCAAAGCTTTTACACCTCCATCAGAGCTGTCTTAAATGTTCAACACACTTAACAACAAGTCTTTCTCATTTTTCTCATAAAAGCTCTCTCCCACTGAACAAAAAAAACAGTACATATGACAGTAACTCACCATTGACACATCTACAAAATATTTCAGATAAAACCTCAAAGTCAATCTTTCACTAAATTTACTGACTACAGACCCCTAACTTATGCATTCACTTCAAATCAAATTCTGCTTCCCCACAACAAATTAGGCATTTAAATTACATAGTTCAATTAAGTACAGACATCTGGCATATTATCTGGTTCTGGCAATGTTGTCGCAGATACTCTCTCATGTATTCAAAATACTGATGTGAATATGTCACTGGATTTCACTCTTATTACTTACTCACAAGCCATGTATAATGAGTTGAAATGCCTTTATGAAGACTTAAACTGCTCATTGAAATTTCAGTCATTACAACTTACTCCAAATTTTCAAATAATACGTAACACTTCTAATATCAAATTTTGACCTTGCGTACCACCTGAATGTATAAAAAATTGTTTAATCTTACCAAAATATATTGCCTTAAGTATGCGGGCTTAAGCTCATACATGGAAGATTTGTCTGGTTATTCATGCTAAGGACCATTACAAACTAGACTTGTTCCTGCATCACATACTAATGTTCCAAAATCCCCCAGCCCATTGAAAACAAAATCAAAAAGACATCTGAGTGATTTAACCATAGTCATATACACACTGTCAGTCTGGATAATACTACACATCAAGAGGATAAAATTTACTGTAGAGCATGGAGTTGCAAACCATATTTAGTGAGTGAAAATTGCAAATGTTTCAGTGGTAGAAAAAATTTATTTGACATAAAGCAGGATTGCAGTGCATCACAGTTCAATGTCAGAAAAGAGATAACAGGACAGTTTTATAGGAATTGTTTGAAGCTGTGGCTGTGAGCATCATTGCACAGCCAACATCGATGGATAAAGGATTGCCGGAAGTATTTGAACATACTCGGTGTGCTAGGAATGTCTTCTGAAGCAAGTCTGATCCATGCGGTCAGATCCTCCAGTGTATGCAAAGGTGTCTGATAAACAACCGACTACAGGTGGCCCCTTAAGGAATGAGGTCAGGGTAGTATGGAGGCCAAGCAATAGGTCCGCCGTGTCCAATCCACTTCTTGGGATATGTAGCATCGAGGAGATTATGCACCACAATCACGACATATGCTGGTGCACAATTATGCATGAACCACATTTTCATGCCAGTATTGTGCCATTCTGGCTCCTGTAATCATCATTTGTTGTTCGTGAAGGTGGCGTGTGGGCAATGGCTCCTCAGGTTACTGCTTTTGGCACATCCTCTGTGCTAGGCATCCGCTGCCATCTGCTCAGCCGTTAATCAGATGCATATCTGCATATTCCTCATTCATACACTCTGACAAGTTATTTGCAAATGAAGTTTAACACCCTTGAATTCTGCAATGTCCACTAATTAATACTTGCTGGTTGCTTTTATTTTTCCCATACACATAGAAAATTTGTATACGAGAGGGTTTCTTCTTTTCGACTGCTGCTGTTATTTTTCGCACACGCATTGGAAGTCTGCATATGAAAATGTTTCTTCTTCCCAGCCCGAGCGATTGTAATCTTCACATTTGTTTGGCCTTTCTCTTTGTGAGACTCACTGTCCTCTCGACATCTATTTTTGCAATTTTCAAATACTAAATATGGTTTGCAACTCCATGTTCTACAGTTATTTTATATCCTCTTGATGTATACTTTCATTTTTCTGAATTTGCTGGTTGAATTCGGAAACACACTGTATAACAGAACAAATTTAGCTCAATGCAAAAACAATTATCACGGGCACCCAAAAAAAAAAAAAAAACTCTTCCATCACTGTATTTTTCATGTCATTTACTGAATTATTAATAACACTAGTTATAAGCATTATACTGCTTTTTGTCATGCAAAAAACTTTTATATGCTCACAGAAAGAAATATGCATTTGACAAAGCACTTTAATGTTGATTGCAGATTTCTATCTGCTAGTCATGTGGTCATATTTTAGTGTATTATTAAATGCAATAATTTTTTTTACAATTATAAATTACCAATACGATCTTTTAAAACAGCCATAAAATGCTCTTAACTACATTCATATCTTTATAATGCAATGTACAAAAAGTAAACATGTGAGCTAGTAATTGAAAAATATATGTTAACTACCTGAAAATACATAGCATACCTGATTCTACTTGAAAATTAATGCCATCAAGCTATGTACATTGTAAATGTACTTATATTGATCTAAAACATAATTCCTAGTGATGTCTCCAGTAGATTATTATGAATTCAGCCATATAAAATTTATTTTTAAAAGTGTTGAAATTTAAAAACCAGGAAATTCAGTGATCTTCGAAGAACAGAATATGTGAAGAAAAATTGGGAGAGTTCGCAGCTATGTAATACTAATAGCATATCATATTAATAATCTTAATTTCTCTATAAATCTAAAATAGAATTAAATGACTTCTTAGATTTAAGGATCCATACTTGATATTAAACCTATCAGATTCACTTTCTTCTGACACAAACATACTTTCAACCTAAAAGAAAGAAAAAAGAAACAAAAATTACCATTATTAATGAAACAAAAACAAACTCTCCCTCCCTCTCATACAAACACACAAAAATATATATTGTGCACCCTGGTTATAATAAGCCAAGTCCATGTAAATTATTAAATCTAAAATGTTGCATGTCAAGAAAGAAACATTAAGAAACTAACATGTCCGCAGATGCCCTTATGCAGCCTTATTTTCACAACTATTAGCCTTAGATGCATGCTTCCACTTACAGAAATATTTTTAATAAGACAACTGTTCATGTTTCGATATATTTAAAATAAAAAAGTCAATTTTGTAAAGATTATGATGCTTAACTTTTCATATGATCCCCTTCTAGTATAGTTTTATTTAGTAAGCATTTATTTTCATTCTAAAAAAAAAAAAAAAAAAAAATGAAACAGGAAAAGTTAACTGCCGTCTGACAAAAATCAATCAAGGTACTTAACTTTAAAGTATGAGTTTATATTTCAAGAAAATTTAGGACTCGTACACAAACTGAAGATCTAAATATTTAAATCTGCATGTAGCTAAAAATGAAATATCACTTTAAGAAAAGGTTTCTTATGTTGACAGATTAAGTAACAGACACTAATATACAGACTGCCATGAAACATTTCAATCAATGGAATTTTTTCAAAGTGGAGATTTCATAGAATCTTACAGAATTCATATTCTGCAAAACAGTGGCAGGCATCCAGTATTGGCACATAACATAGTTCGGATGAATTAAAAAACATTTCATGTACAACGACTTTCTTGTATGACAGTTAAACCCTAATAGTAATAAAACTACATGCGAGTATTATTAACATTTAAAACAAATCATTTGTATGAAAGTTCTTTTGGCATACTACATTCAGCAAATCTAAAAATTACATCAAAATGAATATTACTTAGAAAAAAAAAAAAAGAACTTCAAATTACCTTTTATTTTTTAACAAATCCATCAAGAAAAGTGATGGCAATTAATTTCTTGCACTAAAAAAATCCCTCTTTCTCAAAAAAAAAAAAAAAAAAAAAAAAAGCAAACTTTGGGATTAACTACCTCAGACAATTTTTGTCACAAGAAAATTAATCGAAATGAGAGGGACAAGATGACTGCAAAAATGTTATATTTGTAATTTAAAAAGAATTATTTTATCATCTGGGATCGATTTAAACAACTTTTGGTTACTATCTTTATATTCAAGGGATAAAATAACTAAATTAATCAAATGAATGTTGAGTGGAACACAAACAGGAAAGAATAACAATACGCAAATACAAGATGTTGTCACTTAGCACACAGAAATATGTAATAAAGAAAGGGAAAGAAATAATATAGTAAAGCCTGGTACCTTTTTGTAGAATACTATACTAGCTAAATTCTAAACAAGTAATGATGCACTAACATCATCTATTCCCGACCATTAACAGAAGAAAGAGAAACTGGTAAACTTTCCCATTCTTGATTAATTCAATAATGTGATTGTTGTTCTTCTTGCCATGTGAGATAACAGCAGAATGCAATTTCCCCATTCTCTAGTTACTCATGTGGCAGAATTGTCTTTCCCCTTCCAGTACAAAGACAGTGGTAAAGGGAGTTGATTGGATTAATTAGATTACTTGATTTCGGCAAAGTATAAGTGGGCTCTATGTCTGAGCTCCATCCTAATTTTGATTGAAGGTCTCCACAGAATAGGAAAACAGAAGGAAGTTTTAAAAAAGTACAAAAATTAAGCCATCTTCTAACAATATTTTCTTTGGTTCCATTTGGGGAAGAGGAATTAAGGCTCCTTTCAAGTAGATTTAAAATTTAGTGTTTTAAAAAATCATCCAAATTCTCCAAAAGTATTGCAGTCAAGTTAACAAAACTAAAGGGAATATGAATTATTTCATTAAATGGTATGAGGTGCAGACAAGGAGATGCTGATAAATTCCTGGCTTTGATTCCTTCTAGTTGAAATCAAAAAACAAGTTTCAGCTCATTTAAAAGTCTGAAATCTTAGTATTTCTGTATTTTCATTATAATCACCATACTGAACCTCCACACCGGTTATGTTGAGCCAACTCCTTGTTCAACGAAACTGCACAGCCTTCAGCTACTATATTATTTAATTTAAATTTTACATATGAAAGAATGTTATTTTAAGTTGTATTACGACAAGGGGCTGTCTGATTTGTAAGCACCAAGTGTGCTTCCTGTTCTTAATAGTTTTTAATAACAGGGTCTTTTACAGCATTTTGAAGTTTCAGTTGTTATTTTAGACTTAGCGATAATTCATTGCCAGTCTCTTTAAAGTTAAGCTACAGTTTAATGATTGCAAAGAATAGTTCTATACTTTATAGTGGTACCTGAACAAACGTAAGGGCCATACCTCAAGAAAATTCAACTTTAAGTCCTGCCCCCTCAACATCACAGGATCCAATGCACCAGTAAGTGCCAGGCAGGGATTTCGATGTACCGTGGACACAATGCGACCATCAGTGAAACCTACAGTAATTTTTGTTGGCAGAAATTCCACAATGATATTTTTAGAACAAATTTACTCACATTTCCTGCTTCATCAATTTGAGAAAATACAAAGGTCACCAGAGCAAACACCACACTTCAAGAAATGAAACCATAACTCAAAAATAAATTAAAGGTAAGAAATGTATAGCTTCTGTGCTGTTTAGAGACATTTTTCAAAAAATTTTCCGCTCCCTTCTTACTTAAAAACTATCCAACAAGTACTTGTACCCAAACTGATGGGATCTGTATTTGGCAGAATGCCAAGAAAAATCCATTCATGCTGAAGGGGAAATATGTCAGAGTTCGTTATTGCGAGGCAGGTGGAGTCGTGTCCGCCTTTGAAAAAAATTGCAGAAAAGGCAGGGGTGGGGAGAGGATGGGTCCTGGAAGATTCATCGAATAGCAGAGGAGAGAGACTATTCAAACTGATGAGAACGTTGATTTGAAAGGGGAAAGAATGTTATTGTCTACTCGTATTTAGGGTGAATAAGGCATATAGGTCCGTTCAAGAGAAAGAATGTAAACAAAATAACGTTCGCAAAAAGCAACTGAGTGGTCTTTTGTGTGGGAACAGCACCAGTCTATGCACAATGACAAGGCCATCCAAACTATGTACAATGGCCATCATTGGAAATATTTTATTTTTAGTGCACCTAAATGCCGCACCCGCTGAAAATTTAAGTTTTAAACACGTAAACGCTGCGGCGTTTCTTCCGGAAATTATGGTAGGCGTTTTCTCTTCTAAATAAAACAGGATTAAAAATAAATGCATCAAAATATAAATTTTTAGCCAAGGAACTATAAAATACCTACGAAATTGAGCCAGAAGATTCCAAAATAGCCGGAATAAAAAAAAAAGGCCCACCACCATATGCTGCAAAAACGTTGTCCTCATTTTGGAGATTGTTTCCTGTTATGGAACTTTCAGCAGACTTTGCACACATAACAGAACTGCTGTTAAATTTTTAAAATAATAAAGCCAGATTTACTTGGTCTGCTGAAGCAAACACAGTTTAACTTAAAACAGCGTTAGTTCAAGCGCCAGTTTTGAGATTTCTTGACGGCTATAGGAAGTTAGAAATTGCTGCATTTGTTTCAGATCATGCAGTTAGCACCATGCTGATGCAAAACAGACAGCCAGTGGGTTATTTCAGTAAGGCTCTTAATTCGACTCAAAAGAATTATACGACTATAGAAAGCGAAGCATTAGCAGTTCTTTTAGTCATTGAGAAATTCCAAGTGCATTTTGGGAAGGCAACAGTTACAATTTACTCAGATCATGCTGCTGCGGGTCATTTGTATTCTGGGAGCAATTTTCTCATATCGACCCTTAAACTGCAAGAATATAATTTAATTATTAAGCATACTGGAAAATTTAACACTGTGGCCAATGCTCTATCAAGAATACAATTAGATGAAGAGGCAATGAAATTAAGCGTCCAATGCTAACTTCGAAAATTTTGTATTCTCGCGAGACTATTTTTTCTGATATTTATGCTTTATGCTTATCCTGACAATTTCGAGCACCAGGAGACCATTATAATCTTATAATTTGCAGCTATCAACAATACAGCCACAAATTATTAGATTATTGATAATTTTTTGTTTTAGGCAAAAGCAACAAATGAAAACAATGAATTAAGTGCCATTATCCCAGCCAGTTTAAAGTTGAACATTTTGCAGAAATTGCATGATTCGACTATTTCAGACTATCCTGGCATAAGAAAAATGATATGGCAAGTTCGCGAAGCAATTTTCCCCATAGCTACAAAAGCTTCTTACTGATATGTCAAGTTGTGCCATGTTTGCAAATTCAGTAATGATGTTAATTATAGCATACCATGTATCTGAATAGCTCAAAAGCCACTTTCCCAAACAAATTAATTGGAACTGATTTATTAGACCCATACCGATGTAGTGAAGTTAATAAGAACAGGTATTTACTTATCACAGGTCATTTTTCAAAGTCGTTACAAATATCTCAGCTAAAAGCCACCTTCACTAAAATTGTGTTATGATTTGTTTCTAAATAGATTTATTTTAAAATATGGAGCTCAATTAAAAGTAATTTCAGACAATGACAAACAGTTTGTTAGTCAAATCTTTGGGGATTTATGTGTAGGGCTTGACATGCAACATTACAAAATGGTTCCTCTTTGGCTGCAGTCAAATATGGGAGAGTGGACAAAGTACAACAGCCTAATATCTATCCCTCTGGGAAGAGTTTTTTTTTTTTTTTTTTTTTTTTTTTTTTTTTCTTGGGCCAAATGGATAAGTGACTACCAGCTAAGCAAAAGATAAGTGTCCAAGATGTGAATTTCCCAGCTTATGAAATGTTCTTTGATAAGGCCACATTCAAATAGAGATGGTATACTCAATCAGCACAATGTGCATTTATGAGGTCAACAGAAGCCCCTTCCCCCCAGCGCACAGCACATTGTTTCTCAGTAAATGTGTGGGCATGTTTGTCCAGCGACCGCTTAGTCAGATGGTACCTTTCACCATCCTATATGACTACTGTGAATTATCGGATCTTTCTGGAGCAGGTTCTTCCCCGCTTACCTGACATTGTTCCAGCAAATGTAAAGTGTAACATGTGGTTCCTGCATGATGGGGCACCTGCTAATTTTGAACTGGCTTTTAGTGTATGCATTTAATAGGTCATTCACACATTGATGAATTGAGTGTGGTACCCTGGTTCCCTGCCCCCCCACATACTTACCTGATTTATCGAGCCTTGATTTCTTTCTGTGTGTAGTCCTGAAAGTTATCAGGCACTACTGCTATAATCAAAGAAACTTGTGTTTGATCGTGTCTGGCAGTCATTGTTCTCTCATTGTCAGGTATGTGTCTTGGTGTCTGATGGTGCAAACTTGGAGCATTTTGTTGTAACCTTAGAGCTGTATTCATTTCATATGCCATTTATACCCATGATAAATAAATAAATGTTTCAAATTAATCTCTTGTGTCCTTTCCGATCTTCTACCTCTGTTTCCACTTACTCCTGACATTTCCAGTTACGGGTTGCCATGCAATTCTCAATCCTTATGATGTGCCGCCCTACCTTCCCTGAAAGTCTGTTGCTACATTTTTAGACACCCTGTGTATATACTTTTACTTAGTTAGTTACTTTATATACTTAGTTTTCTGACTAATGTTTCTTATTTTAAAATAATGTTCCATAGTAAACTATATTTATTGTTTTTGTATGTATTGTCTTATAATGCATTGGGGATTTTTTTCACATTAATTGAAAATCAAGGATTTAAAATCAAAACTTATTACATTGCATTTTTTAAATTTTTGCTTACGAATTCTGTTAAAAAACGTGACAGATGAAATGCGACTGAACTGAATTGTTGGTGATTTTATAGAGATTAATTCCCCTTGAAAAGTAAAGATCTTTCTATGCAATCGGCAACAATTTTTCTTATAAAATATTATTGTATTTTAAATTTTTCATTAAATCACATATTGGGAGTACAAATAGGTATCCACTATTTGAAAAAATTTGTGCCACCAGTAAGTTATGTTTAAAATTATCTGATGTAAAACCTCATATCATAATGCCGGACATCTGCTAACAACATATAACCTTGAAATAGTAGGTATTTTGTATCAGCATCATAATTTTGTTTCAGGAGAAAATGTCAAGTTTGTAGCCAAATGACCATCATTTGCAAGAAATTTTGATTTACTTTTTTTAATGTAAAAAAAAAAAAAAAAAAAAAAAAAAACTGCAGCTGAGGTGCATTGAATGCTTGTAGAAGCATATGGAGACGCTGCCTTAAGTGAGAGAAGTTGTGGTGACGGGTTTCAAAAGTTTAAGATTAAAACTGTGTTAAGACATAGAACTAAACGCATTATTGGATGAAGATTCGTGCCATATGCAAGAACTTGCATTTACATTAGGAGTGACTCAACAAGCAATTTCACATCGTTTTAGATCACTGGGACTAATTTAAAAGCACGGAGATTGGGTTCCATATGAACTGAAGGCAAGAAACATTGAACACTGATTTTTTATACATGAAATACTGCTTGCCAGGCATAAACAAAAGGGTTTTTTGCATCATACAGTCATCGGTGATGAAAAATGGATTTACTAGAAACCTCAAAGAATAAGAAATCATGCAGACCACCTGGCCATGCTTCAACATCAACAGCCAAGCCAAACATTCATGGAAAAAAAATCATGTTGTGTATAGATGGGATCAACTTGGTGTCATGCATTGTGAGTTGCTCAAAACAATTACTGGAGCTCTCTACCAAACACGATTGATGAGAATGAGCTGAGCACCCAAAGAAAAATGTGACCATCACTCCAGATATGACAAAATTATTCTCCTGCATAACGCTCATCAACATGTTGCAACACTGTCAAAACCTACTCAGAAATATTCAAATGAGAAATTTCCACCCTCCAACTATATTTACCAGATATTGCTCCTCTATTTACTACTTGTTTTGATTGATGACACATGGTCTGTCTGAGCAGCACTTTGTGTCACATGAAGATACCAAAAATTGGGTTGATTTGTGACTAACCTCATAAAATGAAACGTTCTTCCGATGCAGTACCTGTATGTTGCCAGAATGATAGCGAGTAGTGGCTAGTGATGGACATTCTTTGAATAAAACATAACATACTATTCTTTCACAATAAATGTCCAATTTTTCATAAAAAATGATACAGACTTATTTGTACTCTTGACACATACAGTACAAAATTTGAAATCTGGACTCGTCAAGACTTCGGCGATTTCGGATTTAGGACTTTTCTGGATATTAGATCATCAGTTTAAATCTAATAAGATGGCATGTAGAAATTATAAAATTAAAAATATGAAATCATGATTTATGAAATAATAAAGTATTAATGATCTAAAGGGTATCAAAATTTACAAAAAAAGTTTAATATTTGTTTACCTTATTAAACATTTCTTTCAATGTAAGTTGTTGAAGTTGCTTCATTTTTCATACATATTTGGCTATGCATCATGAGCTTGGTGACTAACGACAAGTTCTTCCATTAAATTTTATCTTGCTTCTACGCGCACTGAGACAATTAAGCCTGAATTGTATTAATTTAGTTATTTTTTATACTTACGTCTATTTCTTGCACATGCTTAAGGCTTATCAGAGTTCTGAATAAATAAATTCCCAAATATACTTAAGCTTTATTGAGGGCTGGCACTAGATATCTTACTGCTTGATGCAGTCTCATTGGGTCCTAAATTCCACAACTCGGTGCGGCCATACAAGCCCTGGCGCTGGTTCTGGGTTTATGTGCATAACAAATCAGTTATTCTTAATGCAAATAGCCCTAAATGTAATCTTTGGTTCTATGAGTATCATCAACAAAATCTATTTTTAGCATATGGAAAGTAATTTTCAGTAAATTTTTCCTAGTCAATACTTTTAGCACATTTAACTTAAATCTGTAATCATTGCCACACGTAATATCAACATAAAAGGTTATTATACTACCTTGTTAAATTATTACCATAAAAAATTGTTTAGGCATCGCTACATGAGTCATTACTCAAGTTGTCATGTTTTGATAAACATGCGGTGATGAAAGGAAAGTATAATAAATAATGATTCGCTCCAGATTAAATATTATGTAATTGGCTTTAGATTAAATATGTATCGATGTGGAATGTTTCCGTCTGAGATTTGTGTCAAGCAGATATGAAGCAACGAAGCCAAATTACTGATCATACAAATTTATGCTAAAATGATTGTTTCTTCAATAACAAGATATTTTATTTAGTGTCGGAGTAAAATTAAGAATCGAGACTCTCCAAATATTTTATTATGCACAAAGGGGGGATTAAATGTGCATGCGTAAAGCACACAAGATTTTGAGGTCCGGATTTTAGATCATTTTGGATAATGTATGTTCGTATTTTAGACTTTGTACTGTATTACGCATTTTGCTCTCCCCAATATGTAAAATATTTAAGTTTTCACTTTTAAAAATCTCCCATTTCATTAGCATTTCACCTTAAAAACATATCCTATTACATCAGTTTTTTTATCAGTATCTAGATGATAATCAAATTGAAATTAATTGTCAAAAAGTACACACACACATATAGTAAAACTTACAAATGTTGTAATGGAAGACAGGAAACTACTGCGAGGTTCAATTTCTTCTTGGCAAAATTTTCTAAACACAGTGAGAAAAACATATTATTTTATACATCTGTAAATATATTTCATGGTCCATAGAGAATTTGCAATTAAACATACACACCTACTCAAACAACATAACATTCATAACTACTGTATTGTATTTAAAGTGTTAATCCACACAATAAATCAGATTTTTCTCAAATAATGTTTTACACAAAAATCTATACATAAGATAAAATTCAGACTGTAGACAATACAATACATACACACACTATAGAGACACACAAAATAAAATTCTCACTACACAGGATAACTTAAGATAAAATTTTTTAACTAGAATAACTAAAGATAGATTTCTCCCTATAAAAATACTTTTAAATGAATTTGATAGAAATGAATTAAAAATGGCAAAAATAAAATTGAGATTAAAAAGTACAATTTTAAAACTAATTAATATATTTAGTACGAGTTTACAGAGAACTAATTTAAAAAAATATTTTATGCTAATATTTAAAAAAACAATACAGGATGATGCGAAACTAATGTGCGAAAATTTAAGGGGTGTTAGAAAGCACCTAAAGAAGCAATTTTCAGCATACAATACATGGGCGGAGAGCAAGTGGTGCACGGCTAGATGGCACTGTAATAGAAAGCGTAAGGAATGAGTTTTCTTACACAGTCATTCCTAGCATGCACTTCGGAAGGCATGTTGATGTACAGTAATCAGGAAAAGGTGGGCATGCATTTTATGTGTCATCTTGTGAATTGGAATGCTCTAGAAGTCGAAAGACTGTACAGGCAGTGTAATCCCAGGAGATCTGGAACCGACCATTTATGGAAGGAGACCCGGGGTTCTCCCAGACCACTGGCTGGACTTGTGTCCTGCCAGCTTCGATTTGTTGGGTATATAATCAGACTTCACAGGACTAGAACCATAGGTCCATCCTATGGTAGGCACGGGCTTGGCAGGGGCCATACTGGTACTGTCGTGTGCATTGCCTTCGCTGTGGGGACGCTCTCATGTACAGCCCTCAGTGTGATGGACTGTGGCGATGAACATGAGAAATCCCTGCGGGCTGTTCGGTGGGTTGGCGCCCCACCAGCACAGTCAACTGAGGAAGACCTCTGTATCATGTTAAGGTGCTCTAGAAGCTGCCAGGTAATGTTGCTCGACTTTAGAGTTAATGTACAGGCAGTGTTTTCCAAGACACGTGCCAGACTGAAAAATGATCGAGCGATTGCATCGAAGCTTGTTGAAACGGAATCCTTTGTTACCACCATGCCTGGAGTGTGTGGATGCCACAAGTTGAAGAAGCCATTCTGCAAAGAGTGGAAGATCACCAGGACATTAGCCTGCAAGAGGTTTCCTGTGCCATAAATGTTCCCCACTCAATTGTTTCACGAGTACTATGAAACGAACATGTACAGAAAGTGAAAGCCTTGAAACTTGGCAGATTATGCACCACGTGTCGAGTTTGCACCTTGGATTTTGCAACAGCTAGCAGTGAAGCCTGATTTCAGTGCACATATGTTATTCATGGATGAATGCACCTTTACTCAGGAAAGCACCTCTATTAGAAATGCATGTGCGGGCATTTAGCAATCTGCATGAACACGTCCTCACGCATATCAGGGGCATTTCAACATAAATGTTTGAGCTAGAATTGTGGGAGACCATTTGATCAGCCCATGCTTCAGACTGGACTGCAGAACATACCTCACATTTGTAAAACAGGTATTCCCAAAGTTACTTCCAACTGTTGCAGCCAACATACAACATATGTATGTGGTTCCGGCACAATGAAGCACCATCCCATTTCAAATTGGATGTGCGGAGCACTTTCGACACTAAATTCCAAGGCTGATGGATTGGTTGGGGTGGGCTCACACCTTGGCACCATTCTCACTCGATCTCTCCTGCCTGAATTTTTTCCTGTGTGGCCATTTGAAAAGTCTTGCCTATGAAAGCCCCACTGATTCTGACAAGGACCTAGTTGCCAGGATCTATGTTGTGGCTAGCACTATCCGAGAAATGCAAGGTGTGTTTGGAAAAATGTGCTGCTCGCTACGTCCACTTTTTTTGAGCAGCTTCTGTAATTTTGCCACACATGCTGTCAAGAAAATTATTTAGTACCTCATCTATCCATTTGGTCTTTTGTTCTTTCATGTTACAGCAATGGATACCTTTTAGCAGTTCACTGTTTGCTCTCTGCCCATACATTGTGTGGCGAAAACTGCTTGTTTAGATGTTTTCTATCACCTCTCAAATTTGTGCCCATGAGTCTTGAAAAACCCTGTATATATTGCTCAAAATATGCCATAAAAAAGGATAAGTGTTATAAATTTTTACAATATAATAACATTATACAAAATAAAGCCCAGAATTATTATACATGTCACTTCACAGGACTTTAAGTTTCTCAGATTTTGAAATATTAATATCTAGTTTAAGCACAAAATCAAATGAGGATGTTAAGGTATTACACACAAGTGAAAAAAATAAGGAGCAATTTGTTTGGAAAATTCTTTTTAAAAACATTGAAATTTATTTCATAAACAAAATATGCTCAAATTACAAGTACACTGAATTTAATATAATTCCTCTCCAATTATGATGCTGTTGCTTCATTGTGATTATAATTCAATTATAACCTGAATGCAAACAATAATTTCATCAAGCTATAACCACTAATAACATGAATATGACTAAATTTTAACATTAAAAAAGCAAGATGTGGTTTCTTGAAGTATCATTTTATGAAAACTCAAATAACAGCATTTGTTTACCCAAATACATGAAACAATTAGCAACAGTTCATGAAACTAATTACTGCCACCACCTGCAGTAAATTCAGCTACATTCATGCCTTTAACATCTTAATAACTATGATGTTAAAGGCACGAACTTGGCTGAAAATACATATCTGAAAAAATGCTAATTCAGCCTTTTATCATTTTTTTCTACAGGAAAACTTGTTCTGAAAGTACGCAATGATCTATTCTTTCAGTAATAACTTATATGGGTTAATTATAGCTAAAAAAGCTCTTTTAAGGTTATTATAATTACTCTTTTACATGCTTTTTAAAACGGTACAGTTCTGATAAATTTTTAATCATAATGAGAAGGAACTGCATAAACAGTACAACACTCTTTACTGACACACACTTTCCTGACAAATAAGACTTCTATGGGCTTTTAAAAAAACAGCTTTCCTCTCTTCAACCAGTTTTTAAAAAAATTAAAGGCTAAAATATAAACTTCCTAAAACAAACACTTTTCAATTATAATTTTAATAAAGCATAACAGAGATACAAATTACTTATATATGTTTTTAAATTAATGTATTCTTAGGTATATATGATGTTTAATTATCAAATGTGTTCTGAAAATAAAATACAACACAAATGTACATATCCAAAACATAATTTCAACACACATATCCATAAAATGTGAAGTCTTTATTCACGAAATTAACATAGATAATTTTTCAGTAATTAGAAGACACAGATGAATAATTACCATAAAATTATCATAATTATTTGGAAATGCTTTACATAAACTTCAGTTTTAAACAACAAATAACTACCAAAAAAAAAAGGCTAACCTGTTGAAGTCAGATAAGGCAAGAGAAACAACTTGACCAAAACCCTAGTAAAAACCAACAAAAAACAAATTTAAAAATCTAAAATTAAACTATAAAACTTTACATAATTTTCCTAAAATTATTCCTTGCGTTTGTTTTCATTCAAACATTTTTTCATTGGGTTAAACCACAAAGTAAAGTGAAGTAAAATGAAAATTTTAACAATTATTCAGAGACAAAATTAAATTTTCAACATGAATAATACGCCAAAGAACAAAATATATATCCTTTAAAATACTAATAAAATTAAGTTTGCTAGCATTCATTTACATACAGAGTAAAGTCATGCTCCTAAAAAGAAAAAATATATAATATTAACCCTATGCATTGGCAGAAAAAATGTAAGAGCACACAAAATCATTGGCTCTGACCATATTTTAAAACAAAGGTTTTCTTCATTTTTTTAACAATGTAAGATAAACTATCAAGTGTAAAACTATTAAGATGAAAAATGTCAATGTTGCCTTTTTCAGATTTGGAAAAAATACAGTCAAAAGTCTTTAATCCGGACGTCCATAATTCGGAATGATCTATAATCCGGACCTCAAGGCTACAAACTTTCTGCGCATGCGTAAACGCATAATGCGTCTACGCATGCACTAATACCTTTACGCATGCGCATAATATGTTTACACATGCGCGTTTAATGTATAACGGACAGTATAAGCTAAGCTAAAATTATCTAATTATCTATTTCAGTTAATGTTGCAGATTGTGTTGTTCCTTAAACTTCTAACTGGATCCGGCTTATTATTTTTTGCAGACTGTTAGAACAATTTTATAAATGTAAGCTTGAACTTTCGATTATGTCAAAAAGAATTTCGGATTCTGGAGCTGCCAAAGGATCTACAAAGCGAAAGCATGTTTCGATGTCCATCAAACAAAAAGTGAAATTGCTGCAAAAAAATGGATAAAGGCATACCCTTTGTTTCTCTAACCATTCCGAAATCTGCTTATCAATTTCATGCTGCTCTGCGGGGGGGGGGGGGGGCGTCGCGGCGCGCAATGAACTGGAAGTTGATCTGTCAGCACTATCCTTATCTTCAGGCAGATGTTTTTATTTTATTCGGCTTATAATTCCTTACTAAATGTAGTATTTCATCTTGATGTACTACATCTTTGATATGATTTAAATCAAATTCCTCATCATTATAAATATCACGAATACACATCAAATAGTTTTCTGGGTGCAATTTTCTAATTGCGACTATGCATAATGTATGCTTTACGCATGCGCGCGTTGAAAGAAATGTTTAATAAAATACTAAATAAATAACTATTTTTTTTTTTTTGTAAATTTTGATACCCTTTAGATCATGATCGTTCTTTATTTCATAAATTATGCTTTCATATTTTTAATTTTATAATTTCTGCATGCCATCTTACCAGATTTAAACTGATAATCTATAATCCAGAAAAACCGATAATCCAGAATCGCCGAAGTCGGATTAAAGACTTTTGACTGTATTTATTTTCATTAAATACTAGGAAAGAATTCTTGTACATAAAAGCAAGGAAGAAAGTTGAGAATCAGCTGTGAATTAAAACCCTAACCCATCATAACTGTGCCTGCATATGAGAAAATAGAGTGGAACAATAAAATGAATAAACATGTTCTCTTAAATACTTTTTCAACTTCATCTTTTCATCCAGAAACTAAAAGAGATTATTTCTAAAAAATCTCATCACTAAGATTGGATTAGATATTGATAAATTACTAAAAGTAATCTGCCTATGCCTTAATAGAGGACTTTTAAGGTAAACTACCTCATATTCATGTTACATATAAGGAAAAACAAGAAAACTCCCATGCTCACAGCTCATTCACTAGTTTTACTGTTGACTATTAGTGAGTTCTCTTTTTTAGAGTTATATACCTTTTCTTATAGATTTCTTTATCATATATTCGTTTCCAAAGCTATTGAACCTTACTGGAGATTTGTTGATCACGAACTAATGTATTAACAGCATACTATGAGGAACAAACTCTTTAAATTTATTTTATTAATGAAAGAGCAGAAGTAAAAAAAATGATAACATATTATTTTTGGGGAAAAAAAAGAAAAAAAAAAAAAACCTAATGTTTTCTTTTTATTTGAAATTCTTTTACTGCTGCCACTTGAGCAAAAAGAAAATTGCAACGTGAATAGTTTGACAGATTCAGTACTGCAAATGATGTTGCTATCTACCCCATTTCCAGTGATAGCATTTATACCTCATAGTTTTTCAGATATGCAAGAAATCTCACTTGATTCACAATTCTTGCATTTCTAGGGTTAGTGTTTTTGGGTTGGTTTGATCTGGTTTATTTAATTACGGCAAAGCACTAGAGGGTTATCTACCTAAGGGGAGGGATGTCTTCCTGGAGGACTTTCTAAGGGAAACTGGCTTGTAAACATGTTACACATGGGGAAAATGACGAAAACGTACATTCAGACAGCCCGTTCACGAGGTTTCAAGCCCAGAGCAAACTATCTGTGTTCAGCTGGTAGGCTTGAGAATCTTTAGAAGGATCATTGTTACTAGGAAGAGGTTGCGAGATTTCGGTCATCAGCTTCTTTAGATTTGTTGTAACTTCATTTTTGAGTTTGAAACATGGTTTCAGTATATCTATCAATAGTCTTTTAATTTTTAATGAAACTACCACATCAAACAAATTTCTCGAAATATTGTCTAACTAAATATGATCCAAGATAGGCTGGTTGAAGAAAAGATGAAATTATGTTATTAAAGATGAATGTATGTGAACAATTTAATAAGTCCTTGAGTATGAGAAAAATTTTTCCCCATGGCTGGTTGTTGGAGTTGTTTTAGATTTTGGACAATGTTTTGCAATTTTTGTATAAAATCTAAATGCATGGCAGATGGGGATTTGCTGAAAAATTCTAAAGGCAAAGAGACTGGTGTGCCATACACAAGTTCAGCAGAAGAGCAATGCAAATCATCTTTAATGGCAGATCAAATGCCAAGGAGAATTAAGGGTAAAACACCAGTCCATGAATCTGACATTTGAAGGTGAGATTTCAGGCTGTTTTTCAAAGTTTGATGAAACTAATAGCGATAAGCTGTAGTGGTGTTAGCTTTGAAACCTAGGTATTTGCTCAAGAATTAGAAGAGTTGGCTTTCAAACTTTCAACTTTAGTCTGATGTCTTTGGTATTTCAAATCTGGAAATCCAAGTTGCAACAAAGACATTTGTAATGGAATCTGCAGTTTTGTCTTCTATAGGAACAACTTCGATACACCAAGTAAATCTACCAATGAAAGTTAGCAGATATATAAAACCTTTGCAGGATTGTAAAGGGTCAACAATATCAATGTTAAGGTACTTGAAATGTTGATTTGGATTTTTGAATTTGGCAACTGGAGCATGGGTATGTTGTAAACTCTGGTTCACTGGCATGCTTTAGTCGACAGTTAACAGTCTTTATTTATGCTATGCCAAATGAATCTTTTTGTTACCAGCTTCATTGTTGCACAAATTTCAAGATGGGATAAATTATGTATAGAGAAAATTATACTTTTGTCAAATTCTTTAGGGATGCACAACTGGTTAAAACTAGTGGAGGTATCCCAATAAATTTCCTTACTGCTCTCTGGAATAGGAATTTCTACTGTTTCTAAATTGAAATATGATTTAAGAATCTTGAGGTCTTCATACTCCTGGCAATCTCTAATAACTGTATGATCAACTGGAGGTAGAGAAGCAATGGTTTTTAGTTCTCAACAGTGTCTGCTATGATGTTTTCTTCTCAGAAATGTACCAAATGTGAATTCAGCAATGTAGTTCAACAGCAGGACTTGAAAGCCAAGGATTCAGTTTTCCTGTTTTGAAACCTGATATGTGCATGGCAGTATGCACTTGTAAGCTTTCGTGCCAAAATGTTGGTAAAAGCAAGTTATTTGTGTCATGTTATTTTTCGGAAGGATTTCTTGAATTCAATCTATATCTTTGTTTTTATGGACTGGAATCATTGCATCTGCTCATTTCAGATATCTGCAGTGCTAAGTTTGATATTTATTTGCACAAATCTTCAGTGATATTCAGAGCTTAAATTGTGCTGGAGTCCAACGGAGTACAGCTATGGTATGTCTCAGTTTCTGAGGTAAATCGCAGTTTCAACCCAGAGCTTACCAGAATTCTTATATAAAAAAGCTCCAGCTCTTTTTTTATGTAAGTGCAACATACTTTCAGCACATAAATTTTAAAAATAAATATGGCTTAAATCTATTATTAACTTCCTAATGTATGTCTTTAACACTTTTAAGGAAAGTCAAGTCTCCATCCACATGTCAAAGGCTTATTCTCTGGGGTAGTGCAATGCATTTATGAGGGCAGGTAAAATGTTTTGTTCCCGAAAGCATTAAAAGTGATTACCTTGTCATGCAAGTCTACAGCTAATGTCCTTTCACTGCAGAGCTCCTGCAGACTTGAACTATATAACCAAATGCGAACAAAAATTGTCATTTGAGCAGACCTTATATTTGATTTTATATTGTTATCGGATTGGATTCGGGGAATTTTTTTTTTTTTTTTTTTTTTTTGCCTAGCCGCATTCTGCTTCACAACTAGAAGTACAATGGGAAGGCATCATGGTCAAAAAGCATTGGACTCTTCTTTCTTTTCAAAACAACATTTCTCCATTAAAATTTCCTTCCATACTCTTGTACAGTTTTTAGCATTTTCTCTGTTCTAATTGGACTTTAGTCAGAATCTGTTCTAATTGGACTAATTTAATTAATTCTAATTATCACTTTAATCATTTTACTTTTTTTCATTGGTGTGCTGGAAAAGAATGATTTTTGTTTCTCTAATCACTTGATTAGTACATTATATTGTATATTCAAAGCTTAAATTCAGTTGGAGGCCAGCTGAGCTATTTCTTAGTTTTTTAATGAAATTGTAATTCCAGCTGGAGCTCCAAATAAGACAAGATCTCATATTTATTTCATTTATTTAAGTATTTATCATAAATTTAATAATTTATTAAATGTTTATTTACGTC